GGGGGGGAGATCAGAAGCAATGGAGGCAGTGAGCCTTACTGGCTGCTCCAGAATTACCAGGTGGGTTTGCTGGATCGGAGATCAATTGATTGATTGCTCGATTGGAAAGTTACCGAGTTGGTGATCTCGACGGGACCGGAAACAGCGGAGGTGGATGACATGTGACATCCTTGTCCAGCGGTCTAGGTAGGCGGTCTACAAATCATTACATAAGCACGGTAGATACCCCAGGCAGCAATATGATATCTAGCGGGAGAGAGTGTCGATCGTCGGAGACAATGGCGATTATGATTCCATCATGATGCAGCAGAAGGCTACGCTTACCTGTTTATTCTCCCCCTTTCTTATTCGCTGATGGACTCAAATTTATTTCCTACAGAACTGCGAATATCCAGACTTTTCCAAGTCTCCATCAGATGTCCAGTCAGTCAAGCGTCACCTCTCAGAGGCATTGGCGATCGCGTGCGCCCTCCCTTACGTCTGATGGTCTGATGGGAGCCATTGATTGGCCTCGACAGAACCCATCACCGCTTGTCATGATATGGCACGATCGATTCAAGGTGATGTCTACAGTACCAGCCAGGCCCAGTCAATTAGCCGACCGCAAATTCCTATCCAATACAGTAACCTACCGAGGGGGTGGGCCATCACGCAGCGTCAAAAAGAGTCAAGACTGCTTCAGCGCGGATTTTCCGGACCTGGGACAAACCCCCGCGGATAGCCACCGACTGGGAAAGAGACTGAGATCTCAGGCTGACGATGGAGGGCTGTATTCGCGGCAGGAGCCGGAATCATGCCCATTGTGGCAAATTTGCATTGACACCCTCCACGATTTCGCTTACAACCCGATAAAACATTTCGCCATAACGGCTCAAGCCACCAATAGCTACTCAGGGTCGACTGGTCCAAAGAGAAGGAGGGGGAAAGAGGGGTTTTGACGATCTGCGAAAAAATTTTTCCTTTTTCTTTTCTTCTGCACGCCCCACCCCCTCAACAAAAAAGAAGCTGGGAAAGGAGACTCTTTCCTCTTCAGGGGATTGGGGTAAATTGTCTCTTCAAAACGGATTCGAGGGAGAAGATTGGATATCTGTCCTGGTAGAGTCATCAATTGCTGGCCAGGGGAAGAGATCCGAAGTTGGGATCCGCACTAGAAGCTAGCGTTCAACCCTCGATGAAACAACCAAGTGTAAAGTTGTCTGAGGTGGTAGGCTTGGGCTACTTTTATTAAGGTCAGTCACAAACTGATCAAGGTTTGATGTCATTCGAGCCCAACTGAGAGTCGACTGGTGCTCAGCCTAAGTCATAGATAGGCTTGTACTCGTATGGTTAGTTATGCTTGAGCCTTGATGCCTCTTTGTCAGCTAAGCAAAGGCCATCATGCATGGAGCACCGTGTGTTGCTAGGGGCCAGATTTGCCCTTCCACAAAGAAGAAGAGCGTCGGACTAGCGGGAATAAGATCCTGCCTCCAGCCAGAGGAGCTTCGGCAACAGACTTGGTCCAAAGCATTCAGATAGGGCCAACGGTTACTCCGTAGTGCGTAGTGCTGTGCTCGTCAAGGTGCGGTGCCATTTTTTGATCCACCCATCAATTCGCCAACAACGAATGCACATGCATATCAGAGAGTCCAGAACAAGGGCGACGGAGTCGAAGAATCCATTGGCTGTATTCGCTATCTTGCCAATAGCAAGTGGGTACGCCTCCTGTGCCTCCCTGACTGGCACCCTGCATTCCTCTGCCAATGTTGAAAACTCCAGCTTCACTCGCTGTCTACTAAGTAGTTAAGTTTAGTCGTAGATTGCGCTTCTAGGACCTTTCGTAATTCCGAGTGACTACCGATCAATGAGCGGGGCAGCTGGTAGTGAACCAAACTTGATTCGACGGCAAGGATCTGGTGAAGTCAAAATTCCAGTCCAGGGCCGACGTCGGCTACAACCGTGGATCAGCCATGGCGCAGAATGCGCGACGCCCAATCGCGACGGATAAGCAGCCCAAAAAGGATCTAGTCGTCATTTAACTATCCCACTAGAATGAGCTTTCCGCTGCCACGGATTTGAGTGCCACCGAATCAAGGATATCGATTTGGGGGGGCGATTGAGGCCCACTGTTGGACTGGAAAATAATGCATCCAGTTATCTATGCAGGCGGTCCCCCCGTGCATAAGTCAGGGCAGCCCCTCTCCGCGGAGCAGTGCTATCATGGCTGCGGCGTATTTCCATATGCATGGGAGACAGTGATGCGTCTGCCCAGCCGTCCAGGGGAAAAGAGGTCCGTATCTTTACGGCAGGTGGGATGGGGCATGACTGGAAAAGGTGCTAAGTGATAGGAGAGTATTAGCAATGAAGCTACCTAGGAACCACATTACCAGATAAAGCTAGTCGGCATGATTCAGCAAGGACGGGACCCAGGCTAGTCGGCATGCTTCAGCAAGGACAGGACCCAGGCTAGTCGGCATGATTCAGCAAGGACAGGACCAGAGCGATCATTTAGTGAATGATCACTCAGCACACAACCTAAGGGATGAGGTTGAACCGTGGGGCAATGGTCAACCATGAATGAGAGCTTAGACGCAAAACTCTTTAGCATGGACCAACTAACCGCACAGCTGGGTTCAGTCAGGGGATCGACGGCTGGACCCTCTCGCTTCAGGTTGTGACTGATTTCTGCCTAATTACTGTGCTCTTTTGAATAAAGACGGCCAGAAGGTACATAGTGAGTATTTGCCTTCTGCCCAGACGATAAAGGAAAATCGAACACTCGACCTGGCAGTTTTGGCGGCCCAAAAACCACAATCGACAAGCACATAGGCCCGGAAGGCGCATCGCATCGTATATCTGTACTCACAGGCTCGGCATGCGTGCAGAGGGCCACACTCAGATCAACTGACATCGTGAGACATATCCAATCTATAAGGGGAGATATGTAAGGTAAGGGTGACATTGAAACAGCTAGGAAAAATGTAGACATGTTCCAGAGCCGGAGCAGCAGGACCAATAGTGTAAATGGGGATAGGGCCATCTTAGAGTGATCCATGATCGGTTTTCGGTTTTCCTATTTCGCGCACTAGATTGAAAAGAGTACTAGCTGCCACTGGCAAAGTCAGTTATTACGAGTGGACTTGGCAAAAGCCAAGCCGACCATAGGACGCTCAGTCAGTTGCGGGTCTGGAAATCGGCGGAAATTCAATTTTTGAGTTCGGGAACATGCTCGGAAATCAGTTCTCCGCACACGAGCCAGGCCCGCTCAGAAGATGGATCTTCCAGAGACATCTCCGTCAGCCAACGACTTGACTTTTGAACCCGATCAAGGACGTTCCGATATGCAGCACTCCCTGGCTTGGTCAGAAGCAATAATCCATGAAGCAGGACCGTAATCGACTGCATCAAGTAATGCAAAAGGTACCACCAAGGAGAGACTCGGTAAACCCAGGCAAGATCAGGAGAATCTGGCAGCAACTCGAGCATCTGGTTCGCCGACTCGATGCACATCATGGCCATCATCTCGCAGAAGCCTCCCGGGGAGTCATTCCCGTCAGTCTTTTGTGAGATGCGGCTCAAGCAAGGCTGCGTGATAAGAATTTTGGCACTATAGAAGCTGAATGCCAAATTCACTCGTTCTCTTTGAAATGCTCCAGCGCCCTGTGACAGGTGAAGGGTTGTTGGGAGTCTCGTAAGCCAAGCATCCGCCTTGCTGTTTAGCGCAGAGATGGCTCCCTCAATCTCACGCCATGGCTTGCGGGCCACCCCTGGAGCATATAAGATTCCAATCGACTCATGTATAATCGTGGCTAAGTCGACAGTGTACAGGAAGACTAGTGCAGAATTGGGCGTCGAGGTTAGGGATTCAACGATACCAGCCACATCCTGTTCACACTGGCTCCCCGGACTAGGCGCCTGGAACCTCGAGATTTCCGGTGAGCCTGTGTCGGCAAAATTCTGGGGGTTCCCTGGGCAGATGGCTTTCACAAGAGTATCTCGAACTTTGAGGTGGGCGATCAGGTCTTGCTCATCGTCGAATTCCTCTTCTATGAACGGCGCCGGCAGTGGTGTTGTGCAGAAGTCATCACTGACACTTGGCGGACGGCCAGTGATGACACAAAGCGAACAGTCGAGCAGATAGAGAGACCACCAAACAGTATATTTCGTTTCTTTTGTGACGTTCCTAACGCTACTTTCGTTTCGAAGGTGAAGCCCCAGTGTTAAAGCCGAACGGATCGCGTAGCCACAGACTTTCCAGGACCTGAACCACATAAAGAATTAGACGACGGCTACAAGCCATTGGTGCGCAGGGAAAAATAGGAAAAGGGGCTATTGCAAGCAGAAAAACAATGAAATCAAAGGGGGACAGTATTACCTATTCACTTGTCCGACGGACATAAGGTAGAAGGAGGTTAATCCCTCTACTTGCACCTGCTGCGCATCAGGATGGTCTAGTAGCACCGTGCCCATTACGCCAAGTTTCAGTGCTCGTGAAAAATAGACAACGCTGTCGTCTGGTGATATTTCGGCAACATTGCATAAACTATGTGTGTACCTGGCGGCAATCGCGAAGATCAAATTGAGCATGGCAAGCCATTTCCTCGGTGGCCCGGCGGAATCGGGATCGTAGTAGCGAGTGATTTGTGTTATAATATGTGACTTGCGGACGATCGGAAAGGACGGATGCACGACTTTGAAATAGGTACGCAGAAGCTGCTCCGCAACGGCGAGAGGGGGGCGTTGGATTGGATCCACATCATTCAGGTAAGGAATCTTCGAATCGTCCAAGTAAAAGCTCGTCGAAGCAATAGAGTCACCGTCCCGGCTCTTTTTTGGGACAGAGTTAGACCGCTGAACAAGTCGCTTCAGTCTATACAGCCACGCAATTTCAGAGTGCTCGCCCACAAACCCCATGGCCTGTCGGTCAAAATCCTCACTGGTGCTATCCAGTGCATTTCTTGAGAAAGCAGACGTTAAGCTGGTCCCTGAGTCACCATGCATTACCGGTGCTGTTGTAGGCGTTGCGACCTGGAATTGAGAAGACAGGTCCTCATCGACGGATTGCTGTGGTCAGCCTGTCAACACGGATCTGAATTGAGATCTGGAAAAGAAACCAGGTGTACAAGGAACAAGGCGGAGGTAGCTACGAAATGGACGCAGTGAGTAGGGGCTTGCAGAAAGACTTACTTCGGTCAAAACCTGCTCGACCTGCTTCGCCGATTCCGAGTCCAGCTTGGGCGATAGCCCTCGGAGAAGGTCCTCATACGCCTTAACCTGACTTGTCAGGTCATTGAGTTGCCTGGAGCACTCGCCGTTAGTCTCTTCGGAAATGCTTATAACAGGATTGGGAACACCGACTTGGCCATTTTCTCTCGCTTCCTGTCACCATAAGAGCAGCGGATGCCCGCCTCCTGGCACCGTTGACACGTAGGGCGGTGACCGCTACATTTAGCCTTTTGTTCGCGACAATTCTCACAAGCACGACTAACGCGTCCACTGGTGGTCCAGGTGGTTGGGAGATTCAACCTGGGGATTTTCACTTTCGATGACCCGGCACGATCGCCTGCGATGACCTCCAAGCCGGCTGTTGAGTGCTCAGAAAAGACAGAGTTGACCGCTTCGTGAGGTCCGCGGAGCCCTTGAGATTGCTGTGCGCGAAGCGACGCACCCCCGCTATCAAGAGGGATATCATTTTCTGGCAGCTCCGAGAATGATGAAGCCTGAAAGGAAGGAAGGAAAGGTGGGGGACGACTGTTGTCGCTCATGGTCAAGGACAAGACGGGAAATCCCACCAAGGCCCTTTCGACTCGGCCCTCGATAGCACAACCCGACAACCCAGCGTCCTAAGACCCGTCGCTCAAACAATAGTGCGCACTGATTCCCCGGCAAAATGAAGTATAAAATGACTATAGGCCAGGGGCAAACAATAGGGACCAGGCTGTTTGGGTGTAACAGCGTCTGGAACGGAGTTCTGTTCTCTTGTTGGTCGAGAAGGACCCATGAACCGGAGCAAAGATGAAGTGTGGTAGGCTGGAGGTGACTGCCGAGTGGGCGACTTGCCACAGTTGGGCGGAAATCGGCTCGCGCCTCCGGAACACCATTGTTTGGCACCGTAACCCAGGGTTGTATACTGCGGTACACCCACTTTCTTCACTGCGATCGTATGAGATAAAATCGATCGGAGCTAGCAGACAGAGGAGGAGAGAAAAAAAAAGAAGGAAAAAAAAATAGCAAATTCAGTAAGTATATCGAGAGGGATCACCAGTCCTACAATAATCAATAGTGGAAAATTTGGGAGGGGGAACAGATCAAGGTCGCGCCCATTCGATCGTCTTGTATTAGGGGTCAATGTGAATAGGCCTGTTTGTTTTGGGGAGGCAAAAGTCGGTCTCCCCTTAATTCCGGGGTCTGGCTTTTTCATGGCCTTTTGCAACTCGCGGAGTTGAAACCTATCTCTGCACAACGAAACTCTTGACGGATGTGATCCGACTATTTACCATGCAGAGGGGCTTCGCTCCTGGCCCGCCAAGATCGAAGGATAGCCCGGTATCGCGCGAAGGCAGCGTTGCGAAACCGTGTCCATAGACGCAGCTGAGCATCACTGATGCTGGGTTCGATCAATACTTTCCCCGACGCCACCTGTACCCACCGACTTCTGTGCACTATACTATCGAGATTTTTGGTGTTCGATCGATGGCGGCGATAATTCTCCAGCAAAGACCCCGTTGCCCATCAGTGAATCTCGTGGCAAACAGTCCAACTAGGGGCAGCGGAGGAAGTTAATCCCCATCTCGGCACGCCAGCAGCGTGGCGTTGGGTGCAAATTCTTCATGCCGACCGTCGAGGTTGCGGAAAGTGATGATTTCGATGGCGTGGCCTAGCAGATTCGGCGGGGAGAGTGTGTTGGTAGCTAAGGGCCAGCAATGCTCGTCCTTTGTATCGAGATCCTCCTCCTCGAGATGAGCAGGACATCGCATGCGAGCTTCATCTCGGCTCTGTGGTATACACTTTCCGTTATTGACTCTGTCCTCTTCTGGCATTCGATAGCCCTGCTCGTCACAAACCGATGCTTGGGTACTAACTCGTCTCATCAACCAGTCACACTGAGCAGTGGAAAAGACCCGATGCATCCAGATCAGAATCCCCTCATACAAGCCTACCTTCTTCCCTCCCCTTGCGAATGTCGAGAACCGAAGGAGCTGAAGCGTCATCTGCTGGTTGTCGCCTTCTCCGAACCGAGTGTCAACTGATAGTCGAACTGGCCCTGACTCGTTTACTGCTTTGTGCCATAGCAAACGACACCATTGTCGCGTACGCTCGCAGCAGACATTCGAAACAACCGATTTGTGATTATCCCGCTTTCGATGTTCGTTGCCACGCTTTATAAAAAGATATAAGCCCGGGCACACCTGTCCCGCTGGTGTTATGACTTTCCTGGATGTCATTGTCGGCCTATATTGCCTCAAGCAGAATATGCTCGTGGCACGGGCGCTTGTTCAGCCGAAACCTAGCAGCTATATGGCTCGCTGTGACGGCCAAAAAGCCCAGACTGTTTCACAACCACTATGCCCATGTGCTATGCCCATGTGTGAAGTGTAAATGCTATCCTGAATAGTCTCGGGTGCACTCTGGTCATGAAGACTCGAATTTGAATGATGAGAGAGCTAATCAAAGCACGTTATTTCAATCCAACTCCACCTAAAATCGCGTTAACCCGTTATCTTTATCAATGCTCTCGCGACGAGGCCAGACCGGCGGGTGCCATCTCGGCCACGAAACATTTCTGTCGAGGTTGCCAGTCTGCCTGCGAAAAAGAAAACCTAACAATGCCCTGTTAAACAACGGATGATTAGATCTGGTTGATGGTGAGTTGGAGCCTTGAGGTGTGCAGAATTAAGTTCTGGTCGTGTCTGGTGCCGTCGCCCCCTCTCTTTGACCCATGGCTCTTGAGGAGGCTCAGGAGTCCTATGACTTCCACCCCCCCTTCCACTTGCTGAATGCTCCGCACGCCACTTTGTCAAGGTGTCAAGCATTAAGCCTGGTTGGTGAAAGTCGCTGTAAGGCTGGCTGTGGTCATGAGGAGCCACTGCCTCGCCCGGCCGGTGGAAACTGCAGGATGAAGCGACGTCGATCAGCGGACAGAAACATACAGGAGATACAAGGCATTTGCATCTTGCTCCAAATAAGATTGTCATTGAATACCTGAATGTGGTGCTTGTGTCAAGTGCTGCCCTCAAGGAGGGATTCCCTTGAGTGGCTCCTGCCGTCGTTGGGGACAAGTCTGCGTCTCACTTAGGTAGGCTTTCACATATAGACGAGGCCCAAATCAATGAGGATGGTCGAGCCTGAAATCAGCGATGCAAGGCACGCAGAGACAAGACTACAGAGGCAGATGATGGAAAAGAGAAAACAGATGAAGACCCCTACCCATGCAACCAAGGGCAGTGTGCGCGGCCATCAGGAGGTCAGCCAGCTACTTGTGCGCGGGAGGAAATTGGTTCGCTTCCCACGCTGAGCTGGCTAGCATAGGTCGGGAACGGACGCCAAAGATTGTGCTGGCCTCTTCAGTCTTTCATCGTGGTGCATCTACTTTTCGGTAGGCGCGCCCTAGATGAGATTGATGTTGCCGGACGACTTCCTTGGCGTGGAAAAGAGTTCCGCGGAGATGCCATCGCTGCTGTCACGGTGTCCCCACCGTGACTGGGCAGTGTCAGTCATCAAAGGTCATTGGACTTACCTGGTTGTGTGTCTGGCTTTTTTTCTTCGTCATTCTGGTTGAAGCGCCCGGACTGAGAGTGAGACGGACGAGAAAGAAGACGGGAAGAAGAGGATGTGGGGGGGGGAACCCTTCAAGTCGGGCCTTAGGGACGTCGGGAGCGAGACGAGGAACAGGCAGAGATTCTCTGCGGAAACGAGCCTCGTGGGAAGGTCACCCATTCAGTCGACCATCTTCACTCTCACTCGCTAACCTTACCTCCTCGAACACCGTCGCCGATCCTGCATTGACCAGGACCCACGATCGTCAGGGCTTGGGAGCTAGCTGACTGGAGTCGAGCTTCGCTTCGCTTGCCCAACTCGACTCTTTCCTGCCTTCTGTTTTCATGTGATTGTTCTCTGCGAAGGTTATTGTGGCATTCTTTCTGCCGCTTCAGACGCCGAGGCGCTGGGAGCACCGTCCGCGACCCGGGATTCTCGGAGGGTTAAATTGTCTTTCCACTTGTCCTTCATGCGTCTCGTCCTCTGCAATTGCCTTGATTTTCTTGCAGCCATCCTCGCTGTTAGAACCAGCGATTCCTCGGTGGGCGAGCCTCATCCACTCGTCGATTGACATAGAGAGTTGGCCAGATCGGATACCAATCAGACGTTGTCCTACCATTCGCATCCCGTCTACGGAGTACTAGCGTGGACGGAAGAGGAATCCGCAATTTCGAAAAGACGATCACGACCCGAGCAGGAAGAAGAATCAGTACACGATGGTCGGATCTACAACACCCAAGCGGGCCACATGGGATTCTCTCTGTGATGGGCGGGGTGAGAATCCGAGAACGTTGTTCTTGGGCAATCGAGGTGCCGGTTTGGACGATCCACTGGTCTCGCAATTGGGTTATAGCCGGTCCGATTAAGTGGTTGAATAAAGCAAGGGAGGCAGGCCATGAGATTGAGTAGCGGGGTGCAATGTTGTGCATCAAGAATCCGAGCGAGTCAGCATTTGTCAAGGATTGCTCCCGCGCCGAGAATGTGTGACGCTCAACCTCGGTAGTGCTACACATCTAAATAGGTAGGTGGGTGAACCGGAGATGGGGAATGGGTGTGGACACCCTAGAAGAAGGGGACTGCAGGGGTGGCGAGTTTGGGAAGAAGCTACCAAAGAAGTTCAGCCAGCCATCGAGCTCGTCTAGCTTTTTGCCAAACACGACTGTAGATCACTCAGTTATCACCGGATAGGCCCGACTTACGGCCGTAGCAAAGCTTGCGGGATTGATTGTGCTGCGGTGCTAATGTACTGTAGCTAGGTAGTCCGGGTACCATAGGACAGTAGAGGTTCCGAAAGGGGAGCATAGCGCATACCACGGGCACTAACTACAGTGCACTGCACAGTGCTCCAGGCTGGCAAGATGCTCCCTTGCCTAATCGGGGATCGGTCCGAAGGTCGGCAGTTTTCACCGACTGCCGGCCGAACCCAACTTCAACCTTTACTTACTGCCCACGAACTATCAAATACTTCCCCCATGACGATCGCTTGCAGTGCTGTCTACCCCCCTGTTGCACTCGGACCGCACTCCACCCAATCAACTAATTCTAATTGCTGCTGTCCCGTCATGACTCATGAACCGTAGAAAACATAGCAGAACGACCGACGAGGTCGAGAACTCCAAACGGCCGAAATTCAGTGCGTATGTGCCGGGCCTCTTGCCCCCCCCCCCCCCCCCCCTTGCAGATGGCATCCAACAGATCGGGCTGACGAGCCAATCTAGATGCCAGCGCTGCCATTCACACAAGATCAAATGTTCAGGGGGTCAGCCGTGTCTCAAATGCCGGCAGGTCGGTTGTGCCAATGAATGCCAGTACACGCCTCGTGATCGACAGGTGAAAGTGAGCGAAAGGTAGATCCCCTCCCCCAGTTCCCGGGGGACAGATCCATCCACAGCTCGATCTAAGATTTTCCCCGCAGCTTCTTGCAACGCCTGCTGGCCGAGAACCGACGTCTGCGCGATCAGCCCACGGCGTTGGGGAATCCGACCGAAGCGGATCCAGAGGGGGCGGCGCCGGGGCGCGGGCCGTCACGAGCGGCCGAAGCCCCGGAGCTGGAGAGTAATCCCAACGTGCGCAACCCCCTGATCGGGGATCGGGCCTGGTTCCATCCTTACGATCCCTCCGCGCCCCCCATCTTCATCGGCGAGGCCGCCTGCACGGCGTTTGCGACCCGCTTCCGGCGCTTCCTGACGGGGAGTAACGCCACGGCCCATATCCCTCGCACCCAGTACGTCCACGATGAGAGTATCAGCGCGGTCACGACCGGCGAGATTGGCTGGCCGAGTCTGCAGCAGGCGCGGTTGCTGTTGAAGATCGCCCTGCGGCAGATAGGATTTATCTACCATCTGGTCATGCGCAAGTCGACGACGGAAAAGCTCGAGGAGATCTATCAGACCGGCGACTTCGAGGCCAAGATCCACCAATGCAAGTTTTTCGCCTTGTTTGCCTTCGGGGAGGCGTACTCAATGCGCAATGAGCCGTCCTCAGGGTCGCGAGTGCCGGGGACGAAATATTTCGCGCGTGCGCTCAGTCTGATGCAAGTGCTGCCGGAGCGGACGAGTATCGCACATTTGGAGACGCTGTTGTTGCTGGTATGCCTCTGGCTTATGCTGTGGGAACTCTGCTAATAGTCTAGTCCTTGTTCTCATACTATCTGAACCGGCGACATTCAGCCTACGTGCTGATCGGCAGCGCGATGCGATTGGGGTTGATGATCGGGCTGAACCACAACATCCCCGAATCGCAGCTGATCGACCCCGTAGAGCGGCAGCATCGGGTGCGCATCTGGTGGACAATCTACATATTCGACCGCATGTGGGGCTCGAAGATGGGGGTGCCGTCCCAGATCCTGGATGACGACATTCATCTGGACATGCCGTCAACGATTACACCGGTCGCGTTGCACGAGGAGCAGTTCTCCGACACGGAGTATCTGAAGGCGAACATCAGCTTGGCGCGGATAGTGGGCGAGACGATCACCAAGCTGTACAGCCGACGCAAGTACAGCGAGACGTTCCTGCAACGGGTGCAGAAGTTGCTGAAGGCATTGAAGAACTGGGTGGAAACGTTGCCGGAGCATTTGCGCCTGAGCCAGGAGGAACCGGAGACGAGTCGCACGCCGGTGGGATCGTTGCATTTATCGTTCAACCAGGTACGATTCTTCCCATGTTGTTCTCATGTTCTTACTGACAGGTCAGTGCGTAATCATTACCACGCGTCCTACTCTGCTGCACATCCTCATCAAACTCAGCGAGGCCGAATCGCGCGAGGAGCGGGAAGAGATCTCGCAGCCGGTCCTCACGCTGGGCGAGGCATGCGTCCATGCCGCCCGCCACTCACACTCGATCATCCTCACCCGCTGGATCAACGGCTCAATGCCGACGTTCGGCTACTTCCACGCACACTACCTGTTCTCGTCCGCTCTAGTTCTGGCCATGTCTAGTTTTACTCCCATGGGCAGCGCTGCCGACATGGGCTTGTTCGAGACCGGGCTGGAGGTTTTGCGTTCGATGAGCGAGAACGGGAACCTGGCCGCGTCGGAGTTCTACCAGCACCTCAAGGTGTTGAATGAGTGTTTGGGTCGGTATATGAGTAATCGACGGGGTCGCAGTCAGCGGGACGCGGCCGCGGCGATCGGACCGGGCGTGGCGGATGCTGTCGTGCCCGTGGACGGCAGTGTCGAGGACTTCCTGCCCGTCGAGCTGAGGGAAGCCGGTGGCGGGTTCACGACCGCGATGGCGTTTATGGAGCCGACAATGCAGGACTTCCTGGCGCAGAGCGACTTTGATTTGGGGATGTTGCAGGTGGATACCTATTTGAATGAGGGGGCGTATGGGGGGTATGATTGTTCGCTAGCTACCCAAGCACCTTAACCCCTAAACCAAAGATATAAACGCCCCGGGGGAGAACCCCCGGACCCCCCTTTCCTTTCAGCTCCCCAGGCACCGCAATCCTATAACCAGATCCAAAACTCACTAACCATAAATCATAATCATAACTCATGAATGACAGCCATGGCAATCACAACTGAACCCCAAACCGCCTCTGCGCCCACCGCTGCATATCCACCCCGCACCGCGTAACAACCAAAACCAACCCACCCCCCACAATCGAAAAGAACACACCTGCCAAAAGTCAGCACCGCACCATACCCCCAAGAAGACGAAAAACTCACAAATCGTAAACGTCCAACCCACCCCAATGACCCGGATCAACGGATCAACCGCCGCACTACTCCCAGCCGAAAACAAGTATTGAATGATATATTTCCCGCTGATGACCTCCGACCGGCGGTGCGGGAGGGCCTCTACACCATTTTCAAGTTAGCACCACCACTGGCACTCTTCCCCGGCAGGGGATAGATAGATAGATAGAGAGGACGAACCAGCAGCATAAGTATTCAACCCGTTAAAACTGCCCATCAGACCGACCCCACCGAAGAACGCCGCGATGATGGGCAAAGGCATGCCGCCTTGGCGCTCCTGCAGCGACCAGCCGTACACCAGCGCCGCGGCGGGCAGGACGCCCAGCAGCGTGAGCAGGCCGCTGTTGAGCCGGTCCTGTGGGAGGCGCGTGCCGTTGCGCTTGACGATGTACCGTTTGACTGTGCGGTCGCTGAGTCTCCCGCCTACGATACTCCCGACTAGGAACCCTGCGCCGGGGGCGAGGTAGAAGAGTCCGCTGACCAGGGCGGAGGAGAGGTGGAAGCGTGGGTTGAAGATTGAGCGGGCCGAGGTCAGGATTGCGTATTGGAAGGTGGAGAGGAGGCCGCAGGTTAGGTCCTAAGTTTCGTTAGCTGGTAGACGATGAAAAGGGGGAAGGGGGGGGCGGGCGGCGCGTACGGCGAGGAAGATGTTGGGGTAGATCCAGAGCTCGAAGACACGCATTGGGTTGAAGGCATTAAGGATGTTCTGGAGGTTGTGGGACGGCGCTGTGCTCGGTTTCTCGGGGTTGGCGGTGCCCTTTCTGTCGACGGAGTAGAGGTCTGGCACGAAGAGCGCCGCAAGCAGGAGTCCGAACCCTGTCATGGCCACTTGTACCCAGTAGATGTTGCGCCAGCTGGCGAAGGTGACGATGATGCCGCCGATGCAGGGGCCTGTAGAAGGTTAGAGCGTTTCTCGCTGGAGAGGGAGAGGCGTACCGATCGCTGGGCCCGTGACGGTCCCGGCCATGAAGAAGCCGACGGCTGTTCCTCGGACGGTCTGTACTTCAGTCAGAATTGGGCAGAGAAAGAAGATGAATGTATGATGATGAACATGGAGAGACTGAAAGACCCGGGACTCCCTTACACCATACATATATGGACATAATCGAGAAATCATCGGGCCGGGCCCTCCTCAGCTTATCCCGTCATACCATAAAGATATACTTCAGAACATCCCGGATAACCCCCAGACCCCATCTCACCATCCACAAACCACCCCTGAAAGAAAACCTCAAACTCACCGGCTCCCAACAATCCGCCAAAACCGTCTGCCCGGTAACCATAAACCCGGTACCCGTCAACCCACCCAAGACCCTCATGGCCGTGAACACACGCATATCGCCCGCGACAGCCGCGCCAACAGAACACCCACAAAGTACCGCAATAGCCAGGAGGAACGCGACGCGGCGACCGATCAACCGATTCAGAGGGCCCCAAATCAATGACGAGAACCCCATCGCCAGGAGCACGCCGGCATTCGTCACATTTAGAATCTCGGTGGTGGTCGCGAACTCGGCCGCGATCTCCGGCGTCGCGGGCAGTAGACTCGTCGACGAGAAGGTCACGGCGAGGGTCATCCAGCTGACAATGAACAAGATCACGGATTTGTGCCAGAAGGGCAGGTCGTAGCCGTTTCTTGGGGGTGGGTGGAGAGTGAAGAGACCCCCGAAGGAGTTGGTCTGGGGTTGCGCATTGGGGTGTTGTTCGTTGAGGGTCCATGTCGATGTCGATGCGGATGCGGATGCGATGGTGGGTTTGGGGTTGGCGCTTTCGAGGTCACGCCCTTTATATCCTTCCGTGGCCGGCATGGTCGATTCTATGTCTATAAGAATCCAAAATCTATGGGATCCAGTCGAACATCCCCTCTCGGACGAATTGGACTGCACGCAGATTTATATCTTCCCTATGTCTCGGCATTCCGGTTGTATGGCCGAGATGACGATTCTGATCTGCCCGCTTCGGCGGTTGCGCACCGAGAGACTCACGGATCGTCCCGCCGAGCCGGTTGGCTTGCCGCGGCAGCACGAAATATTTCAGTAATATGCAGCCCAGCTCACAGCTGGCTGACACTGATGATGATGCTGGCGATAGCAATTAGCTTGGCACCCGTACATCCTATTGCACGGGACTTACTTGCTACATTCCAATGAAACAATCACACGTCAAACAAATCGCCGAGCAACGCACACTTGTCATTCAGACATTCCTTACAGCTCCCCAGGTCAGGCACCGCTAATTATCCAGTCACGTCTGCTTAGCGTTTTACCACGCCTGGTCAATACGTTGAAGGAATCCCAGGCAGGGCTCGTTCATACATTCCGTGTGAAAGCAATCAGACAAGACAAGCATTGGTATATCAACTCAAACGAACGTATACAGAAAGGATCAATTATGTACGGCTGATAGTTCAACGGTTAAGGTTACAGGTATAATCATTTTCCGGCTGTTTCCTCCACACCGTCACCATGCCATCTCACACTTACAGCAAGATCATGCCGAGGGCAGCACCCACAGCAGTCACAGCGTAGGCGCCCAACTGCCAGCTGCCGACCGAGACGGCCATAGGGCTGGCAACCATACCCGCAGCGCCCTCGGAGTGGCTGGAGCTGGCGCTGGCAGCAGCCGCACCGCCGGTAGGGGAAGAGGTGACTTGGCCAAGGCCGCCGGTACCAGCCTCCTTCAAGAGGGAGGAGCAGGTGCCGCTGGGAGCGGTCGAGGAGGTGGTGGTACCCTTGCCGCTGAAGTCACAGGCGCTGGCCTGGGCACCCTCGGCGCTGAAGTACTGGTTCATGACGAAGTTGAGCTGCTGCTTGGTCGAGCAGACACTGTAGGCACCGTAGACTCCGCTGGTGGAGTTGCTGGTCTGGCCCGCGCAGTACTTGCCGTCCTTCAGACCGCAGATGTAGTCAAACACGTCCGAGTACTTCTTAGAGGAAACAGAGTCCTTCACCACACAGCTGAGCGACTTCTCCATGCAGTTGCACAGGTCGTCGTTGGGGCTGGGGGGAAGAGTGCTGCTAGCCTCCCAGGCAGACGCAACGCTGGGGCAGGTGCTGGTGGCAGTGTTGGTGGCGGACCAGCTGTTGCTGTTGACACCGGTGGCAGTGGCCTTCTGCATCTGGGAGGACAGGTTGGAGAAGTCCTTCAGAGGGCTGACGCTGTTGCCGGAGACCGAGACCAGACCGTAGTCGTTGGCCTCCTGGAAGTACATGTAGACGATACCACCGCTCCAGACATCGTCCATCTCGTCACTGAACAGAACGGGAACGTCGGTGAAGGTACGGGGAGCGGGGTCGTTGCAGCCGTACTCGGAGAAGAAAGCGGGAACGGGGTAGTTCTTGAACTCCTCGGTACGAGCCTGGTAGCCGGAGGTCTTGAAAGAGGAGTCACCGCACCATTCGTAGATGTTGTATCCGAAGAAGTCGATCCAGTCCTCGGAGTCACCACAGACAAGGTAACTAGCAAGGTCATCACGGATATGGGCGTCGTCGTCGGTAGCGTAACCGATACCAAGGGTGGTGCGGTAGTTCTTGGCCTTGATATACTTCTTCATATCGCGGACGGCAGCCTTGACGTAGGCGGCGGCATCAGTATTGTTGTTATCGTTGGTGACCTCGTTACCGGCAAAGAAACCGATGACGTTGGTGTAGTTGGCGAAGGCATCGATAACACTGGTGTAGCGATCGTACAGGGCAGTGTTCCACTGGGGGTCGTTCCGGTTGATGGACTCGGAAGGAGCCGACAGATCGGTGATCAGGTAGATGCCGGCGTCAGCCAGAGCGGTCATACACTCGTCGTGGTTCTGAGTAGGGTCGACGGCATAGGTACGGATCACGTTGGTGCGGAGCTGCTTCAAGTAGGGGATATCCCGCTTGCAAGAAGCGGCGTCGGCCAGAGGGTCGATGTAGTCCTTGTTCTCCGAGGAGGTGCCGTTGGCCGTGTAGTCCTCTGTGGATGGGTTAGAATGATAGGTCGAGGGATACAACACGTCTTGTCTACATACGCTGATAGGCAACACCACGCATGTAACTGGGATTGGTTAGCTATGACCATGCAATTGCTTCTTGGTGGACAGGATAGTACTCACAATTGGGTTCCGTTGTTGGAGTAGAAGAACTTGTTGCCCTGCGCAAACCGACGTGTCAACACCCGTTCCCTCCTCGCCCTGTCTCTCGTCAACATACCTTGATGGCAATCTCGGGCAAGTCAGCCGCAATGGCGCGGCCTAGGAGCAGCGAGGCCCCAGTCAAGGCAAGAGAGTTGAACTTCATTGTCAACCGTGGAAGGAGTTATGAACGAGAGTGCGGAATCAAGATAATTGGAAGACGGAAGAAGATTGCAATGCACCGGGCAGAAACAAAAGTCTAAAAGGAAAGAACGAGTGACTAACGGCAAACACTCCGCCGTGAACGTGGGATGATGTTATTGCGATTAATTGGGGGGAGAAAACAAGGAAGCAGAAAGAGAGAGAAGGAAGAAAAGGCCGATGGCTGGGGGGAGGCGGATGATAAGAAAGGCAGCGTGAGTCCCGTTGAGTCCAGTTTGGCCCCTGCCTAGAATGATGGACCAAGAGGAACTGGAACCAGATTACGACGCCTGTAAAAATAGCACCAAGTTGATGGAAACTCAGGGGAGAACAGGCAGCATTGATTGGAGGAGAAGAAGAAGAAGAGGGGGAGGATTTCTTACGGCCAATGTTGTTGTGCTCACTTGTTTTTCTTCTCCTATACCAGTGTCCATGGCATGACGACAGACAGCTCTTCATGTCTTACAGTTCCATCCTAGCTATCCACCACATTGACACTATTCCTCCGCCAGTCTTGTCACTATTCTTAAACGGCATCCATCGTGCACCAAGCGGCGGGTTCGTTTACAACACCTTCCATTGAGCGCTCAATCCTTGGGGCGGTACTCAGAACGGTTCCACCAAGGCGAATACCTCACTCGTACCAAGAGCCAGGGGTCAAATCCAGGGTTGAGACTCCAAGGGAGGCCCCCACTCTTCCCGGGACCCTGATGGCCGATTGGCCCAAGACCCTGACTGTGGGTATAGTAACACTGGTAAATACCAGTCCCTTACCATACAGACGAAGAATGGTAAGAGTGCCTTGTTCCTGACCCGCTCTCTCAGCATTGAAATCAGCATGCCAGTGCCGGTACTGCCGAGGGGCTGCTCCAATGGAACTGGGCCAGTCAGCAGGTGCTCGGTGGGTCATTAGCTCATTGAGATGCACGCCCACGGTTTAGTTAAGACAATTCAGTGGGGGGGCGAAAATGGTTCAAATTTGTCGGTCGCCCCCGTCGACCATCCGAAACAGTCGCAGGAAGCGGGCCTGCGGAGGGGCAAATGAGACAATGTTCTCCTTGTATTCTACCATACCATGTCACGTATGGTAAGACTTGAAGCAGACCCCTCAGACCCTGCCGCAGGGTCTCAGGGCTCTCAGGGCTCAGAGGGGCCCAGAGCTTACGTCGCCCCCTGTACCCTGAGGTAAGACAAGGTATCACCTCGTATGCAATACACCCTCTGGCCCTCTGAAAACAAAGACCTTTGCGGCGAAGGATGGCAATGCATGCCCTCACCCACAAGCGTGTGTCGAATATAGATGGGCAAAAGGCTTGTTTGGGTGGATCAAGGCTTAAACAATACTCGGTCGACGCCCATTGCCTATCGTCCTGCTTGTGCCGACCGGGCAGCAGGCATTCGATATTGCAGGGTGGTCATGAACGCATCCTGTACTTATGTGTGATTGCCCATTGCTTGAATCCGGGTGACCTGGCTGGCTGACTGCGAGATGCTGACCTGATAACTACTCGACGCTCTCCCGGGCCAGTACGGGAGGAGATCAGATACTCCGAACAACAATGACTTGTCGTCCCCCGATCGGCTGAATTGAGGAACAAGCTTTGGGATCATCAGGAGCGACATCCTAGTGGCATCACTAGCCCAACCACTCACTGGTTCGTTTTTTGGTTTGTTGTTTTTGAATGCGCTTTTTCTCCTTTCGCCCACCCCTTTTCCCTCTGTCGACTGCTCATCAATCCCGATGCCATCGACTTCGGGATGACCTCATCGCTTGGACACAGGCAAGACAGCACAGACAACAATGCAAGGAGGTCGGGAGGTCATTCTCCAAAGCTACAGTACCTTCAGCCCTCGTGGACACGGACTCCGTAGGTGTCACAGCCAGCGCAACACTCACTCCCATGCTTGTTGATAGGTGTTTTATATAACGCCGCCTGCGTAATGAGCTATCTTTGGGGCTTTTTGCGGAGAACTAGATCTTCAATGACGGCAGGCGCTTGATCCGGTTGTTGAGCGACACAGCGCCTGCAGGCTTGGCGCCTGAAAGAGCTAGGGACTTCTTGGAGAGATATTCCTCGTGAGGTGGGTAGGGTTCTACGACGGATTCAGTCCTTGATTTGTCCCAAATATGGGCCAAGGCCCCCGGGCGTCACCCAAACTGATGTCCATTCCAGCGCAATATGTGTGTGGCTTGGGTGGCTGATAAGCATGTGGCTTTTATGTGGCGCATAGACAAGAACTCACCAGCCACATGTGGCAGTGTCATCCTGTCTCACGTGAGATTAGGTAATCGGCTAACACACAGTCCTGGCTTCCGCCAATGATCGGCTGAAACACGCCAGGGGCTGGAAATGTTTGGACTTTTCATCAATGATCAATGAGATGACGCCAACACCGGGGGCATCGACACCTCAAATCAAAGAAAAGGTCAATCCCGTCAATGCACGGATAGGCCTAGTCTACAGTGACCAATGTCGTCGCGTGTCCTCAAAATGTCCGGCTTGCGCCTCGTGCATCATCCCGTCTGCTACTGCTGCCCAAGAAGTCTGAGAGACCGCCCGCGACCGAGCCTGAGTGCGCCACAAAAACAGGAAGCGAGCAGTGTAATAGGCAAAGGGGGGCAAGATCCTCTTGTGGCGGCCAAGATCTATTCACACATTGGTTCTGCATCTCCGCTGGCAAAGCGAGACTAGAACGAATGCATGCAAGTCGAAGACAATCGGATGTCTTGGCAGAGGTAATTGCGTCGCAGGCTCATCGTGTCATCAGTCCCGTCAGTCCTCCTGAAAGATGTTCCTGGATAGCCACGCGTGCCCAAAGACCATCCGACCGCGTCGACCATCGCGACCATGGATTCCCCTCTACCAACCCCGTTCTTACTGAACCATGTCAACAAAAGAACGGGAACAGCAACATAACAAGAATCACAAGAAATAGGGCCAAGACGGCTACTGCGTAACTCACCCGTGGTAACACGACGACGATGATAATCCCCTGGAGCTTGTTGGCGCTTTAGATTGTGGCTGTGTCCCTGAATACTGCAACCCGATCCAATAATCCAGTGTGATTGTGGTCTTCCACCAAAACTTAATCTTTCTCCATCTTCAATCCCCTTTCGAGTGGATCTTCACTCCCTTACTGCTGTCATTCGTTTCCTGGTCTGTTGCGTTGTTGTCATTAATGGGTCATTCATTGCAGAACCCAACCGCCAGGTCTCCCTCTCACCCCTCGCTTGAGTAACTTAGTCTTTTCTTTTTAATCATCCTTCCTGGGTGGTCTGACCGGAGCGCCTTTCCCCTCCTTTTCCTTCTTCTCGCCGTTTGTGTTGTCCAGCTGGTTGAGTTTTCATCGCCCTCATCTGCTTCCCTGTGGCTGCTCGAGGCGGCTGTGTTGCGCAACTCTCCACTGCTCCAGCCACACCTCAAGGCTTCAACACATCTGCATCCTTCAGTCTCCACGTCAGTTTGTAAGTGCCTGAACAGCTTCGTTCCTATTGGGCTTCTCTTGCCATGACAGCTGGGTACCGCACAGCTGGGTCGCCTGACAAGCCTCGGCGTGCTGCGCATTGAAGGCTTGTTGGATAGCCTCCACCTTAAATGATCTACTACTTGATTGTCTGGGGTCTAATATTATGTAGTATAAGAGATCGACTTCAAGAACTTTTCAATTGTCAACACTTCCTCGTGCATCCATCGTAACCATGCGTGAGTTCGCCCCTTTCCGCACGACGGGGCCATTTGCTGACCGTGCTTCCGCCGTCAGATATATATCGACGACAAGCCAGGAAGCTGGCCTGGTACGACAATGACGGCGAACCGTCTTCGCATAATCCCTTCAAGAAGTTCCGGGCGCGACCGCGGCGGACCAACTCCATCCAGCTGGAGAACCGACTTACTCCTGTCGTTTCTGAAGGTGGTCTGCGACTCTCAGAGGAGCGCCGGCGTCGGAGAGATATGACCGACGGGTTAGCCGGTCCAGAGCATGCGGACACCTTTCCTCCTCAGTCTGCGGGAACCGATCAGTTCAATCGTGTCGACAGCGCCGAGAAGGCAGATACCGAACGGTCCCTGCGCAGCCAAGACCCGATTCATGTGCCGCAGCCCGACCAGCCCGACGAGACACGACCCCGAAAGCGAAAGACCTTTCTGAACAACACTTTCCGATCCAGCGCCGACGAAGATCGCATGACTGCCGACTCGAGCAAGGGTATGCCCGACAAGCAAAAGTTCACTGCGGTTGGACAATTGAAAGCCACGTTGTTTAATTCCTGGATCAATATCCTACTCTTCGCCGCACCCGCGGGCATTGCCTTGAATTATGTCGATGTCAATCCGGTGGCCGTGTTCGTGGTCAACTTCATTGCGATCATCCCCCTTGCTGCCATGCTGAGTTATGCGACCGAGGAAATCGCCATGCGCACTGGTGAGACCATCGGTGGTCTTCTGAATGCCACCTTCGGTAACGCGGTTGAACTGATTGTCGCAATTATTGCTTTGGTCGACGGAGAAGTGGTTATTGTGCAGACATCTCTGATCGGTAGTATGCTGTCCAACTTGCTCTTGGTTATGGGCATGTGTTTCTTCTTTGGCGGCATCGATCGCCTTGAGCAACACTTCAATCCGGTGGTTGCGCAGACTGCGGCCAGTCTTCTGGCCTTAGCCGTGGGAAGTCTGATCATCCCGACCGCTTTTCATGCGTGGTCGGAGGCGGGAGAGACTGGCATCGCAGAGTTGTCCCGAGGCACTAGTGTTATTCTTCTGGTCGTTTATGGATGTTACCTATTCTTCCAGCTCAAGTCGCACACGGAAATCTACAATGCCCCTAGCCCCAAAGTGGAAAGAAGGCGGCAGCGAGTTAACGAAGGCGACGCCAGCCGGGGTATCGCGCAGATCGGTAAGATGACGGCCTCGATGGCCGGCGGGCACGCCCAGAACGTGGAACTTCAGGAACCGGACGATGAGGAGCAGCCTCAGCTGAGTATATGGGTGGCCGTGCTGACGCTGGTGATTTCGACTGTCTTTGTCGCTCTTTGTGCCGAGTTCATGGTATGCTTGTCCCTTCGCTTTGCAATGGCCCCCGCTAACCTGATTAGGTCGATTCCATCGATGCTCTCACGAAAGAGGGCCATATCTCGGAGACCTTTGTGGGATTGATTCTTCTTCCGATCGTGGGTAACGCGGCAGAGCACGCGACGGCTGTCACCGTTGCCTGCAAAGACAAGATGGACCTCGCAATCGGTGTGGCCGTAGGCTCAAGCATGCAGATCGCACTACTGGTGCTGCCCTTGATTATCGTGATTGGTTGGGGCATGGGTTAGTTTTACTGTCGAGTTGTAACCAGAACTCATCACATGCTAACAGCTGCTTCCAGGCAATGATGATATGACCCTCTATTTCGACGGTTTCCAGGTGATCCTACTGTTCGTCGCTGTTCTTCTGGTGTGTAGCTCAAGTCTTGCTCGCTGGGTATGTGCTAACAACGGCAGGTCAACTATCTCATCGCCGATGGTAAATCGCACTGGTTGGAAGGCGTTCTCCTGATGATGATGTACTTGATCATCGCCGTGGCAGCATGGTATGTATCTTTCTCGCTTCCCATATGTTGGAGCTATACTGATATCGTTTCCAGGTTCTATCCTAGCAAGACCACTGTTTCCTGAGCGTATCCGATCGGGGGTCAGATGTCCACACCAACTCGACCAGACTCCTGTCATGCCATATCACATTCGTGATCTAACGATTCGATTCAATCTTTGTCTTTCTCCTGATACTTTTCCGTCTGTCTCTTGAATGGGGGCTTTTTTGAAATTGCTAAATTTTCCACCTGGGATACCCGATCATTTATGTAGAGTAGCAGATCTACTAATACCATACTCAATTTTACTTCTATTTCTCTTAAGGACGATTCCTAAATTACGAAGCACTGCCACCCAACGCCTATATGCATGGGTCCTTTCATAGCAGGCTACTGCATGTCCGCTCCCGTTGAGCTCATAATGCCTGTCTCTCCTTGAACAAACGCACTTCCGTTTGCCGCCCATATCATTACCTCCGCTCAATATCCCTGGGCTACACAGGAAATTAGGAGGACAAACGACCTGAACTCCGTTCCCTTCGGAAGCTGCCAGAAAACTCGTATGTCTTCTCCCTCGCCAACAGTCTGGTGAGATTGCTCCAAAGAGCAGAGCCGTATAAGTATCGTTTCTCATCCGCTGGCGGAACTTCCTCTCGGCAATTCATTTCTCAATCACCCCCTTCTCATCTCTCTTCCACCTCATCCACTTCTCCATTTGTGTTTTCTGGCTCGTACCAGCTCCTTATTCAACGTGTCTGTTCTGTCATTGTCTTCTACCCGTCATGCTCTCTTCCTCCGACTCTCTTGAACTGTACTCGAACGAGACTGCCACGTCGTTCCTTCCTTCTAATAACAACCCCGAGACATCACGTTTTGGATCATCTTCTCTGGAGTCTGTCATCGACCGCGATGTTCTTTCTTTCTTGGCTGTCGTCTACTGTTTCTGGGCTCTCCGCCTAATTCGTGCATTGGCCCCTAGAGCCTATCCTGATCTGTCTTTTCTTCTTGGATCGGAGATTGGGGCTCTCCTGCTGATTGAGGCCTATATCCTCCTTGGCATTGTTTCGGTTTACTGGCGGATTACTGTTCTTCTCGTGCCCATTCTTATTCTGTTCATCATTTACACCCATCCTCGTTATTGAACCCTAAGAGCGACAGCTCCATCTCCGGACACAAGTGCTGCTCCGTATGCCCTTTCCTTACACTGACCTCCTTCACCTTCATCAGTGACTACTCTCGCGAGAACTCTTCTCAAGGTTTGCAGCCGGGGCCTGGTTGTCCACCACCTTGCTTCCGGGCTCGTGATCATTTGAACGAGCCAGGAGTCTCCTCCCTTCCTTGGATTGCACTTTATCATCACCATATGACCTCCGCGGTTGATTCTGTTGCAGCCCGTCCGGGTTGTTAAGGCTGTCCGTGAGTCTTTTCACACCATTTTTTCTTCGAAATTCAGTGGCAAGATCTAACCACGAGAACTTTTTCTGGCTAGTATTACCATACCCCCGAAGTTGTCGCCATACCCTACGCTTTGTTGTTTCCATTCACATAATCTGCCGACTCGATTTGCTCCACTTCATATTCCTCCCAAGTTTACGCTTCATCTTGCGCCGTTCACATCATAACCCTTTAGTCGACTCCTCGTTGGAAACTTTCGCAACCGGCCATCTTCACGGCTACCATAGTTTTCAACCTGTTGTTGCTACTAGGAATTGCTCAGGATGAAGAATGTAAGATCAATTTGCTTTGCCATGTATATCTTCTCTAGGTACACCAGCTCAGTATTCATCCGTGAGTCCGTGGCCCGCGTGCTCCGTCACTACTGCTTTCTGACTCAAGGCGTGACAATAGGGCTCTCTGGCTGAGCTTCCGAGAACGTGTACTGAATTCAGACGAGTTCGATGAAGTCTCAGCGTTTTCTTCCCCTTCGAGTGGCTTTAGCAGATTGTCTCAATATCATGTCCCGTCATAGTGTGCCTCCTGTTTTATTGATGACTCCCACAAAACCTAAAAGATGCACCCATCCCCGCCAACATAGAACACACCTTCGTGCCTACCTTCTGTTTCCCCATTTGGAGCACTTTGAAGTATGGATAGCCCCTAATTACGTGGGAGTATAGGGATGGGACACGAGTTCGAGAAGATTTTTGCCGCTCACCGTGAGGCTCCGTCAATTCTAATCGAGAATTTGGGCTAAAAGCGACGACCTAAGATTGATCTACGCGGGCATTGTGGCCCAATTGGTGCAGACACGGCATCCGAACAAAGTGAAATCGTTCTGTCAATTGATTTACGAGCCTTGCATTCAAAAGCGCGGGCATTGCCTCCAGGGCTCTACATGTTAGCCATGATTCTGCTCAATTCTAGTCTGCTAGCACGAGTGAGGGCTCAGACATCTCAAATGGACTTTCCGCTGCTTTCGCAGATCTCTCCAATTACCTCCTGCCCCAGCTGAGCTGTACCTATTGTCGGGTTGCCGGCAATTGTGTTGTTGGCCATTCAGCCATTCTACTATTACCTCCTTCCCCGGTCAGTCACTGAGCCTAGCTCGTCTACGATATGAGAGGGGGCTGATCTATGGGTGGTCCCAGAATCCTTTGATTGATCGGTTCTTGAGACAGCCATATGCACATGGAGGACGGACACCGAATTTTTCATACCTCGGCGCATTCGTGGCAAGCTGCATGTTATCAATCTCTTGCACTGGAGAAATATCCATCATATTCGTATCCCCATGTTCAGGAATATTGTCACTGGTCAGTCTCCCAAGCCTTCGATAATCCTGCTCTTGTTCCTTAGACACTCCTCCTCTTGCAGGTCGCCACTGCTTCGAATGTGGATACGATGCTCAATCTGCTCTACCCTCGCCTCGAGCGGCGCATCGCGAAGTCTATTCCTGCAGAGCGTTGGCGGACCCGTTTGTCTCATATTTCTAGTCCGCATCCGATGCAAAACCAGCGATTATTTTGACTCCATATCCGTTCCTGAGTCGCCAGGTGGAAGTACTACCGTGATTTTTTCCTCAGCGGCGCACGGCAATAAGTAATGCTTTTCCACTGGACAAACTGATTGCCGACGAGACCAGCATTTCCGAAGACTTGCGTAACTCATGGTATTGTATCTCCTCGGATCACGCTTCTTACGCCAAAGAACGTACATTGCGTGAAGTTTCCGATTTGAAAGCGCTGCAGACTCTGATGCATATCCGAAGGTGTCTAAAGCCTACAGCCTCTGTCAGGAATCTTTCACTCCATTTATTTTTACTATTCTCAGCTTACTTCCATCCTGGCACCCACTTAGTGCCACCCCCATGTGACTAGACCCTTCTGTTACTGCATGCGGATGGTGTTGACAATGTTTGCACAATCAGGCCGCTGGAGAAACGTATAGCCTCCAAAGAGCGAGGCATGATGTGAGGGGCGAGTTCACTTCTCGTGACCCATCTCTTCACTTCATATCAGGTATTGATATTGTTGAAGTTAGGGTTGGTGTCAGTCTCGGCCCTGCTGACTTCTGCCTAATAACCACCACTAACGAGCAGAAAGCCCCGGCGAAAACAATCCGCAAAGATCGGTGGCTGAGAGATCGACAGATGCACCTTATACAGCATATCCAGGGTTTTCTTCTATTTGAGGAGAGCTCGAGGGTCAAAAGGACGCTATGCGGACTCGCAGGGCATCATCAGAATTTCCTGTTTCCTTTCAGTTCTTCGATTCCTCATTATGAGCCACTCCGGCCAGATCCCAGAGTATGTTCCTCGTTTCCAATAAATTGTCTCCCTATCTGTCAAGCGCCCACTCTGTTTTGAACACCGTGCTCATGGAATGCTTCTAAATCGACTGAGCCACACGCGCATGAGTCAAAATCTTCCCGAGCACTCTCATCAGATTTTTCACCAAGTCTCATCACAGTGAACCACTCGAAACGTATCGTCGAGACCATATTATCTCACATACGCCTGATTCAACAGACTGTGAATGCGGCACAAGATAAACTATGCATTTCGACTCAGTGTGAGGACTATGAACAACGGAAAGAAATATATAAGGAGGTGCTCGACAAGAGCGCTTGCGTGAACGCAGTCAACGACTATCTCAACGGCGCGGTCTTTCACGTGCTCTCGAACTGCAAGGAGTTCATGATGGGCAGGGACCTTCACGGTGATCACTGGAAGCAAATCCACCAACGGGCAGACAACTGGGATGCCGGCATGAAATAACAGGCTGGTAACTGAGAGTGGGTCCAAAATATGCACGACAAAGTGCTTGCGGAGTGGTTGCGCCGCGAAGGCGACGGCTTGAAGTTTAGCAAGGCCTGGCGAGAGGCATGCGGGAACATGAGGAGCCATCGATTCAATGTTTCAAGGATTTACAGAAGAACAACCCTACCGACACTCCATACTCACACAGCACTAGGGCAAGAGCTTTCCTTGGGTCAGCGGGAGCCGAGGGAGTGAATTCGGCCGTGTGCACATAACTTGTGTGTGGATTTAAAGGCAAAATGACTCCTTTCCTTCTTGTTGATGGCTTCTCGTGAGTGCGGCTGCCTTTTACAGCTTGGCCACCAGCCGGGACCACCATGGCTTTGTTCTCAACACGACCTAGGATGCTAACAATACTCACAACATTGGAAAGCGTGTCTTCTTCGATGACTGCGCCGAAGGTCGTGAGGCATCGACTGTGGTGGAAGTGGATCCAAGCCATCCGTGCTGTCTAGCCCACAAGACGATTCACCTTGCGTGACGGCACGGGCCAGCCCTCGGACTCAGTGTACGTCGACCATGTCCAGCACTTCATCCCGAAGTACCCACGACTCGCGGTCAACCTACATTGAATCCGAGGACCGGCCCATACTCCGTCGAGGAGTTAGCAGCGCATCGGGGGTGGTTTGCACCCGCGCATGCCTTTCCCGTCCGACCGGGCTCTTCCAAACCACTGACTACCGACTCTATGCTCAGCATGGCCTTAGTTTGAACTACGATCCGGTGCATGTAATAAGGACTCAGTATCTTTTTTCGAGACACCGAAGAGCCCCTGGTAGTATTGTTTTGGCTGCGTCTCTGAATTGATACCACGCCCGGGAGACTGGAACTCGTTGTTTGTGAAGTGAAGTGGTGACGAGATCTTCGAGGATATCGCTAGTGCTGCGCTTTCGAGCACCACCCGAAGTTTCCAAAAGAAGCAATAGACTGAAAAGTACTATACAGACCAACTGGGACGCGTCAAAAAAAGGCTAGCGGATTGACGAAGCCTCGTGAATGCACCGGGAGGTATGGATAAATCAGACGAACCAGACGATGAGACAGACGGCAAGTTCAATGATCCAGAGGATGAGGATCAAGGATATCCTCTGGTTAGTTCGTGGAGTGCCTCATATTTGGCTACGTGAATAATATTCCTTATCAAGGGATTCGCCGGAATACACATTTGCGCCATGAAATACACCTGGGGAATCGTTCTGGGTATGTCTACGATAAGTTGAGGGTGGACAGACCTTATCACGAGAGAACTATAGCGTGAGAGAAGTATCCTCCAGAGACTCATGCTGCTGCGGGAGACAAGAACAAAAAAAACAATGAGATACCCAGTCGTCCGCAATCGCCAATCTCTTTCGAGTGCATTGCCGACCGGACTCGTGGTGTTCCCTTGGATAGTGTCTTCCGGAAGATTTCACGAGTGTCCACAGTCGAAACATACTACTCTGCCTCAGGCCTTCGATACAGCCACTAATATCGATACGCAGGCTCCGAGCTCAGCGAGTTGGCTGCTAGAGAGATTGTCTTCACCAGGGGACAGTCCCCTTCGCTCCTGGTCTACAAGGTTTACAAGGACCCAGAGATTGAGACCCTCTATGAACCCCTTCCTGAGAAGAGGAGCTACAGCACAAAGCGAAGAAAGTACGACCCCCCTTCAAAGCGACCGTGGAACGAAGAGCAAGAGCCCCCCATGCACGCCATACAAGTCAATACACTGGACTCACGTGGGGAAGCGCCAGGTTAGTCGGAGGAGCGGGAACGATACTGACGACAACGAAGCATTCGCAAAGAAGGCTGATCTTGTATAAACAGGCTTGTACCGAGCTTGCTTGACAGGAAATGGTGAAGCAATTGCTGTTCACGTCGGGTCAGTTCAAAATACTTGGGCCAGGCGCTGATTCACAACGGCATTGAGGTGGGCCATTGATGGCAGGGCAGAAAGAGAGCGCGCGCCATGGGGATGCGACGCATGGACAACCGCGTCGGCTCGAGCAGTCAACGGGCCAATCAAATAATCGCCCGAGCAAGCTTTACTCTAAGCCAAGAAGTTGAAGCTTGAATCCTGGGCGAGAGTATTTCAGGCGATTCCGAGGGATCCCGAGGGCGGTTGACTTGAGAGAACAATCCAGCAAATGATCTCTCGTGATAGACAATGCTGATATGGGCGACGCGATACGACATCACGCCTGTGAAGAAATTCAACTGTGTGGCACCGGGGAGATTTATCCCTACGTTTATGGAGATCCGCAGTGACTGGAGTTCGGATTCCACTCTTACTATGGGCCCGGGACTTGCGGCGAGTACATGGTAGTTTGGGGGGAGGTGTAGGGCGGGCTTCCTATGGCGAACAGCCTCGTGGCCACATCTGCTGCCATCGAAAGATGATGGTGACATGGAAGAAGAGTGATTGTGCCTGCTTGGAAGAGACAGACAACCGCAGATTCAGCGCCGTTTCACGGCAGCGGAGCGTGTCTCTAGCTCTCATATGCCCAGAATTCTTCTTTCTGAACCGCCCAGTTGTAGTGAAACCAGTTGAGAGACACAAGCTCCGATTTTCCATTCACGAATGTGCCAGGTCGCGAACCTCTTCTGCTGATTGGGACCATACCGCCACCAGGCCGAGGGGAGGATGAACGCAGAAGATGGCGGTACGCTGGGGAGGAAATTGCCGGTTCACTTGGGACGTTATTCCGCGAAGATGGTGATTCCTCGAGACCCTCACCGGCTTTTACTCAACCCGATACCTCCATTTTCCCGAGGGATCGCTGGATGCCACTTGGCTAGAAAGGCCTGGGATGTATCAGCTTCGCGCAAATGTCGTGCTGGTTCCACAAACCGTGGGCACGACAAGAGATGTACTATCACGTCATATTGGTGTGAACTGAAAGAACACGCTCCTAAAGAACTGGACGGCACACTCATAGAGTGATGCTCCTCTCAGGAAGTTGGACGAGGACACGTTGCATGACCCCACTGAGGCCAGCCGTGTGCTCTTTGCCCTGACCCAGACGGACGAACCCATCCTGTTCATCATGCAGCGCGTGGCAGCTCGTCAACTGGACCTTACCCTTTGTTATCTCCTCTAAGAGAAAGGTAACTACCCGAGGTAGCTTGTGGACGTGACAGGATATGAATTACGCGCCATGACCCTTCCCCTACGACAAGGATACTAGACAGGTGGAATGACCAAGAAGTTGTCCTTTATACCACAAATCCTGACGATTTCCAAATCACCGTCGGAGCTCAGAAAAGGCCCTCAGTACATTAACGAGGCCAATCTAACCCTTCAGCCTGGAATAAGCTCAGTGCCTGGAAGGATCTTTATGAGACATAAAAGATGGCGGACGGTAACTGGGAGAGGGTTGAGACTCGATGAAAAGAAGCCCCTGCCCTCGAATTGCAGCAAGCCTCAAACCAGGCAATCTGCTCTAAGGAGGTGCTGAGCCTCAGAGACAACGGATGGCCGTCTGTTGAGAAGGCCCGGGCCGGGGACGGGGTAGCGGAGAAGTTCGACACGTTGGTCGCCAGGGAGCATACCAACCGGGATCTGACAGTTTATATGGCGAATGTGATGATGGAGATGCTGGGACAATCCCGGTCCTACCTGGGTATAAATAATATCAAGTCATTTGAAGATGCTTACTACGAGGGGCCGAGATCGAGATCCAGTCGGAAGAGGGCCGCCGGCGGCGCGGAAGACGGTGTGAGGCGTAAATGTGCGCGGGGCCGGGTTGAGGAGACCGGGAGCCCGCTTGCGCATTGTTTCCATACCGACCAGCGGCGCCTCTCGGAGGAGTACGTCGTCGATTCAGATAAGAAGACGAAGGGCATATGGGTACTGGACACCTTTATGGAGGGGGAGGAAGAGGAGTGTAGGGGAATACTGATAGGCGACGGCAAGCCGGAGGGTGGTGGGATCTGATAATCCTCAGGACGCCGGGTTGGAGGAAGCAAAGAGGCTGGTCGAGAAGAATACTGTTGCCTATTTCGAGGATCCGGTGAACTTGGCCCTTCTGGAGGACATGGTTAGGACCCCGGCAGAACAGTGTGCTGGGCCCCTACAGCATAACCGACCCGCCACTCTACTACCCAGTCGCCTGCAGCAGAAACTCAAATTGACTTTTAAAAAAGGGGAGGGGGGCGGGCAACCTGGACAGAATCCGGTGCCGGAGGGCGGTGATATTAACATGGCTGGGGTCGACGATGATGTCGGGAAAAGCAGCAGCGAAGAGGACTCGGACGATAAAATGGATAGTAGCCGTGACGATAAGAAGGGGGAGAGTAACGGGTAAGCTGAAGACTACCTTTACGGGGAGAACCTCAGCGAAAAGGACTCGGACAAAGAAATGGAGGATGGCAGTGATAAGGAGAGTAGGAACAGTGAGGCCGGGGAAGCTGGCAGCGCCGGGGGTAAGGAAAGCAGTGGGATGAGTGAGGCATCCCAGGCGCCGGACAGTCCTCCGCCGACCAACACATCGAAAAGACCGGAGCGCAGGGCCAAGACCGAGGCGAAGAGCCGGATGACTGGATGTTAGCATGTGGTGGGGAATGGCAGGGGGCGTCAGGGTGTGTGCGCGAGGTCGACATAGCCTCCCGTGTTTGACTCATACCGATGTGATGAACGCCCTTGATATCAAAGGCTCAAAACAGCTTACAGAGCATGATATGGAACAGATCGGAGGTGAACTGAGTGATGTCGGCATGATACGTTCAAAAGCAGTGGGCAATAACGCCCTCCCCAGGACAAGGATGCTAGACAGGTGGAACGACCAAGAGATTATCCTCTGTACCACAAAGCCCGCTGACTTTCTTGGAGAAGAGGAGCTCGAAGAAGAAATTACTAAGGTTAAAGGGAAAAGGGGAAACCCCAGGTCGGCCTTAAACGATCCGAGCCTCAATCGCTGTCTGAATTCGGAACAAACCTAATGGCAAGATGCAGGAAGATTCGGAAGCATAGTGTGTATGCAATACCTGTCTGGATACCACCACATACGAGATCACAGATGAACGCATTGTTGACATATTCTCCCTCAGTACAACATAACAAAATGACTGTATGAGCATTCGGACTAATGAATTCATACAGCTGAAAGGTCTCGCAAGAGCTCTAGGAGAGAGTGGAATCGAGGGCCAACCTAATAGCACTGGAGACAATCGTCTGCGTCCACAATGAAACAGAGAAGAAAAGCAGACGTTCAGAGGCAGTCTGCAGACAATGAGGACCTTGAAGAGAAACTTACTTGGATCAAGAAATAGAGAAGGTCCCTAACAAGCCATGCCAATCAAAAGCCAATGCGGAACTCCAGGTCCAATTCCGAAGTGCAAGAGTATACAGAAAAGTCCCGTGTGTGCGAGCCGGTCTAGATATCGCCACATACGAAATCGTTATTCTGTCGCCTAGGAGACTGACTCTAGAATTTGTGTACACACTAGGATTTGTCAACACTTTCCTAGAGCGCTGCAAGGCCAACAATGAGGCTCACAAACACATCAAAGTCTTTTTAAACGCAGCGAAGATACGGACTGATGTAACGGAACCGTCTTTCTACTCTGCTCTATTTCGGTATGACGAAACAGACTGAGTGTATTAGTATTCGTACGAGCGAATGCATACAGCTGAATGGTTTCGCGAAAGGCCTAGGGCAGAATGAAGCCGAGGGGCATGAGATCGGTGTGATGTGAACGAGCCTTGCGAAGATCCCTGCTCGCTCGGAGCTCTCGCACTTACTCGAACCTTGCATAGCAAATCCAACGGTCAGCATCCAAAGCTGCCAGAACGCGACTCACCTGCGGATTTTATTCGTGCATTGTATGCAATGCAAGCTGGCTGGGCGGGCCTAACACGTCTTACCCATGGTGGGCCACACTTTATCTCTTCGTTTCCGACTGTCTTGAGCGTCATATCTTTGATACCAATCTCGACATACCCCAGTAACACTCTATATAGAACCCATGGGCCAGAAAAACGAACAGTGGATAAGAGAGCGCACACAGGATCCCACACTGGAATCATTGAGCCAGTCTTTTCTGCCTCAGACCACGAAATCCGTGAATTGGCACGAGAGAGGGATGATGGACGGTATGTCATAACGAAAGACAGAATAAGAATTCATTTGACATACACATATCCGTCATCATTGATAGGGGCCGATGCAGTAATTGCACATGTGATCGGCCTCGATTACGGTGTTTGCAACAGACAGTAAAGTCGCCCCCATACCGACAGAGTTCCAAGGGAAAGAACCAGTCGAGTCGTGTTTCAGGTGTCTTGAAGCTAGAAGAGTGTTGATGGCCTCCCAAGATGAGTCAGAATGTTCTTATCACTGAACATGTTGCGGAGAATCTCGCCCGGGCAATCCGCCGTGGCCGAATGGAGGAGGTTGAGAACTATCTCAATGTCGGGATCGTCGCTAGCACGGCCACAGAGAGCGGACTCCCAAGTTCTTGTAGATAGTCCCTCGGTACGACAAGGAGTTTGTCAATCCCTGCGTGCCTGGTGGCCTCCGTCTACCCGGCCGGCTCGTGTGAGCCGCGAGGAGGTAAGGCTGTTGTGGAACGTCTTGGACAAGCTATGAGTAACGCTAGTATTAGCATTGCTGGAGGAGATAGATTCTCGCCTCGCTGTGTTGAGTGAGCTCGAGAAGAACAGCTTCTTTGAACTTCTACTCCCCAGATTCGACACCTAGCTCATGTTTGGGAATACTGAAATACATCAGTATGAGCTTCAGGATCCCGCCCTCACCGCGGCTTGCCGACTACGCTCGCCGCCCCCAGTACGATACCAGGTGGTACAACAAAGGACCCAGCGCGCATTTCACGGCCGTCTTCTGGAACAATTCGAACATGTTTGAAGAGCATCCTCCTTTCTAACTTGTTCTTTGCATGAGAGTTCAGTCTATACAAGCTGACCTTGAAGACGCTTCTATAGACACTCCAATCTCATGGCAACCTCGTGGTTAGTTCTACTTCTCAAGTCTCCTCCCAGGTGCCGTGTTCCATGGAAATACAGAGTTGAATGCGAATCATCGAACGAAGATGCTCGCTCGACATATTACTGACCTTGGATTATGGTTGGCGGGTCCGGTGCCTCCACACCAAGATCGATACCATCTGGGGCGCGTAGTTCCTCTAGCCTCAAGATGGCGAGGACCCTGATCGACTTTCATCATGATCGAGGCGATTGTTGGAAAGTACTCAAAAGTTCCGAATATGTAATCTACAATTGTGGGAGCAGTGCAAGGTCAAGCTAATCGGGCTATGGATGCAGTGCTGCGCCCTTACAGAACGGCTTGATCGTTTCAACGTCGCTGAATTATGCGGGAATTGTTACTGGGGGTGGTTCAATTCTATGCGATAGTCGTGTTCGACTGCTGGCGTAGAATCCACGTCGAGAATAATCCCGCCATGACTGAGCAGCAGCAGCTCGCCAACGGAGAGCAAGAGTGCAACAGGCAAAAATTCTCGTTTTAAAGCGGGCAGAAGAAGACACGCGCAAGAAGAGGAAGATCCAACACGGGTAGGTCGGCCTCAACCTTGGCTAGAGCTCACAGTGAGAGTCCATCTTACTCTGATAAGAAAAAGTCGTTCATTACCACCCTCTCTGAACCTAGACTACACTCAAGACAGGTATCAACAGAATCTCTCGGAACGCGCCAACCAATCTTTCTGACCATTAAGCAAAACCAGAGGAGTTCACCATTCAGAAATGGCAGCCCATCTATGTGATCCTGTCCATAGGGCGACGTTAACGTCTTTTACACTCCCTTAAAGACAGCTAGCGCTGTGCTCGCGCATTATTTGTTTGGCGCTTCTACAAGAAATCCAAAGTAGGGGTGTCAAGAGTAAAAAGGCTTGGTGGTGAAGAATCTATGTTCAAATCCTCCATCGATAACATCTAGTTCGACATGGACAATGGGACGAGACTTCCCTACCAGTCGTTGACAAAGCACATAGCTTCTGCCTGATGGCTTTCTTTAAAGGTATTACAACAGCCTTTCTCCATTTTCCCCCCTGCTTCATTCTCGCTGGGCTGGCAACATCTGCCTACATGACTAAATTGGAAAACCAACTTGTCGCAAGCTTACCTCTGCGACTGGTTTGTTTCTCTTTCTTTTTCAGCACCAAACCAATATTCTTTACACGAATTCAATCAAAAGTTTATGATAGCTGACTTACGCAGATGTCATATGCCTCTAGGACCCCTCGACATGTGCTTCAATTCTACTCACTTTTGAAAGATGGGTTATCAATACACCGCTTACGACATCTGTCAACAGGCCTGATCTTTAGCCACAATGACCTGGTGCTGAGTATGGACTCGCTTTTTTGCCGTAAGAGAAGAGAAGTCAGACGGTTGTTGTGAGATAATTGATCTGGAGAGAGAAGAACAGGCCGAGAAAGTGGATGACCCTATTGACAAGGGCCGATGACTCCCAGACTGGCCCGCTCATGATGCCAGACACCTTGGACAGGATTAACTTCCAAGAAGACAATCCAGATGTGAAACAGTCGAAGGGATCAGATCTTGTCTTTATATTCTACGAACAGGGTCGATGGCTTCCAGGGCAGAGACCGCCGGTGGTGATTCTCGACCCGGTCGTCACCAACCGTCCGGGGTTCATCACGGATTCGACGCGTCTCAACATGGCCACCAGCCGCGCGTAGTGTGGGATGTACATCCTAGTCTGCGTCAAGCCCTTGCAGAAGGCCCTGCGGGATCGGCCGAAGAAGAAATCACACCTTCAGTCCCTCGGGCTGTGCAATTCGCGTGAAAATTGCCGCTATACCACTCCCACGGTCAGATGGTTGGGGTACTAATCCTGTCACCGCAGCCAGAAATTTGCTTGCTAATACCACTTGAAGACAGGGCATCAGGGTACCTCGAAACCAAGACTGCTCTCGAAGCCTTTTCGCCTTCAGCAGGGAGGCGCTTCAGCATGAAGCAGACATGATGCTGAAGTACTATCTTGACATTGTATTCACTTCTGAATTGAGGATTCTACACCTCTCCCCGTTGTCATGAAATGTGATCATGCCGGGCACCTCGTGTTCTTGCGGAACAGGCCGAGATCATACGATGCGATAGATGGTTGATCAAAGATGGTGTCATCGAGCGCGTGAAAATAGTCATAGACGTTGGCAATTCAGTGCCAATGCGCGCAATCTCCCCGTCGACCCTCACCAGTTCCGAAGCATGCGTGAAGCTGAATGAGCAAGGCGGGTTCTCACTTTGTGAATGGTCTTTCAATTATCCTGGAACCTCCTGTGGATGCAACATCAAGATGTAGTGGTCTGGGCAAAGGAATCCCTGCTGGTTATTAAAAAGCACCGGGGTGCAGGTCCCTTGTGGATGGAAGAAGAAGCACGTCGCTCACCCTATTTTCTCCAATGCATGGAGTATGTGGGAGGACCGCATGCGCAAGGGGCACCCGATTGAGGTCTTTGCAGCAAGCCTTGCCGATATTGATGGGGCCCTATCGAAGCTGAACCGCCTTAGAAACTCCGGGAATATCAGGAAGGAGCTGCCGAAGTAGTACCATGAATTTCTGAAAGAAGATGGAAATGCTCTTCGGAGCTCATGCAGCAATACCAGCGACACTATGAGCTTTGCTTAAACCGAAGGAAATCCCGTCATTCAAACTACATTCGGACGGCTGACATACTGAATAACGTGGTCGAGCTTGCAGAGTCCCGAGATCATTGTACAGCTGGTGTGATATATCATGGGTTCAAAGCCTACGAAGCCAGCTGCGGTACCGCCCAACAAGAACAAGAAGACAGCCGCCATCCACTGGTCCGGAGTGGATAACATGCCAAGAGGCGTTGAAACATTTCCAGTTCTGATCCATCGGTGGCATTGCCTGTACAAAAACATGTGTTCGAAGCTGGATTCGTTACAGCTCAGCTTCGCGCCCATGCGACAAAATCCATCCAGACGTCCATGTGGACAATCGAGGCAATGGCTAGTACAAGGTTGGCCCTGCCGAAACACTCCTCCAACCGTTCATCGCATACTCGAACTTATTCGACTGCTCCAATGCGGCTGTGGCCAGCACAGTTAGTCGTCTGCCCCAGTATCGTGATACGGACGGTGAGTCCTAGACGTCCTTCGAGCTGAGTGACCAGCGATTTCCCAGATTCACAGGGCGCCACAGCCTGGACACACCCGGAATGCTTAAACTCGCGTTTGCAGTATGCCCAACCGCTTGAAGCCTTCAGAGCTGATGATCGATCTACTGCCCGTGACCACGACTTTGAGTCTCAGGGTATCGCCTATGATCAGCACCTCATCCAAACGCCCTACCGACCGCCAGGCCAACCTGGTTCAGCGGCGCGTCATGGCCAAGGGGAACCGGGTGCTATATACGTCTGACGACTGTGAGTCTGGCGAAGCCGACGATACCCCGCAACCCATTCCCGCGATGACGACGAAGGGCGTCTAAAGGCTGTTCTGACCGTCCGCGATATTTTCTCTGAGCAGGACGAAGTCGATAACGAGTCCAAGCCGACCAGCGCGCAGGCCCCAACCTTGGCGCACGCGATAAAGCTCCTGAACCTCCCCGACGATTGCATCTTCCGCTCTGCCCTGTCGGATGAGGCCTGCTCCACCACACATAAGGCATAGCAGGTCACCGGGACGGCCTGGATGTGGGACATGGAGCAGCCAGAGTATTTGCGGGACCTGGTCCTATTGTTCCTTCGGTTCACCTGGGGTTTTGGTCCAGGACCCTCCCACGCCAGTCTCATATTTGGCTGCCACCTCGTGATGCGTCTCGATAGCACTGGGATCCGCACTGCCGTTAGGATGTGGTACCTTGGACATGTCTCGCTGCATTTATGGTGGCTCTTTGCTTTGGGTTTTCATTTTGCTCAGCAGGCTGGTCCCCTACAGGCCGATACTCCTCTTTATTAGAGGACTGCGACTTGGGATATCCTTGTCCGAAAGAGGATCAGAATCGCCTCGTCGTGCTCACGTCGACCCGAAGTTCTGGCATCTAGTCACGCCCGATTCTGGCAGGAAAGGCCTGCGTTAGAAACCAATTCTTATTGGTACATGGAACAATGGGATGAAGTCTTAGGTTCAGTTGGACTTTCGCATCTTTCAATTTCATTTCGTGAGGCAGCGATCGATTCTTCGTCATTGTATTGGCAAAGAAGTAGTTTCGTGGGGTTGTCCTGTAAATCCCCCGCCGTGCACCATTCAGACTGTTAGAACCCCCCACCTCTTCTCAAAATATAGACACTTTCGAAAAATGATAAAAGATGCTCAAGATGCCCGACTTGTCGTGGTATCCTTATGCTTTGCCAGATATAGGTTTGTATGCTCAGACAAGACTACATTCCCGTCTCAAACATAACATTTTATCTGAGCTGGACCTAATCATCTACTCGCAGTCCCGAAATCTTGCCTAGTGAGACTCCATGGCAGTTCCCTTCCCAATGATCGTTGATACACCAGCCCAGACGCGCGACGGGTTGAAGACGCCTACGATCTAGGAAAGATGCTTACCAGCTTCTGGCTGCGTTTAGAGAGCCCATGGGTGTACACCCTGTCCTATCACTCCGCTCTGGTCGTGGTATCAACGTCTCTATCAAATCAATACCAGAAGCAACTCAAGCATGATTCCAGCCTGCTTCCCATGTCAACCCGTTCATTGATTCTATTGATATCTCTGGCTCGAATCCAGCTACACACAGATATATCATTCAATGCATCATGATGGCTTTTCAGTCGTGACCTGCACCTTCTTGTCTGGTCATCCATCTTCTGGTATCAGCTTGTTCGATATCTGCTCAGTGTGGTCGTGAGAGACGTTACGGCACAGGCTCTCTGCCACGCTTAGAGTATACCATCAGCACTGCGAAGAAACATCGAACGCCGAATCCATTGTTGTCAAGTTTTGGCGTTAATGTCCCGCTAGTTCAAGAGGACCTCCCACCACCTCGCACTTTTCATCCACCTTTCAGTGAATCACTTTCCCCACAATCTCCTCCGCCCTCTATTTATCTAAAGATACTACCACTATGTATATCTTTCGGTCAGGCAGGGGGGGATCTGTGGTGTGATAAAATGAGGTTCAGGCTTCTCGATGGTCCTCAGTGGCCCATAAGGGTCTTTCAGGTTGTCATTCAAGTGCCTTGAGGTTCAACATGGAAATCCCTCACCAACTGGGTGGGGTATCCGCATCAAGGAGGCGTGGCCTTGGCCAATTTGGGCCAAGCTGTTTCTCGGCCTTGAGTGATAAGTGGCTGTGGTGTGATGCCATGTGTAGGGATATAGCGAAAGTAATGGATACCTCAAGCCATGCTGAAACGATCGGAAGGTTCCGATACCATTGCTTCTTTCTGAGATATGACCAGCAAGATCTACTAATTCATGCGGATCAGGTATGCTATCACGAGATTAGAAGAAAGCAGGAACAACAAGAAACATAAGAGCATGTCTTGCCATCTTATAACCTGTCCATTCCTTCAACTCCACGACTCATCCCCGTTCGGGTTTGCTCTCTCCCAAAGAGGCATGCGCTCGACGACGAAACCACGATCCGCACGGTAATCAGCACTTGAGGGTCTCCCATTCAACCGCATTAGATCAATTTACATGCGTCACGATTCTCCAGCTCCGAAGGCTGGCCTGCGATCTGAGCCAATCGACCTTCCAGCGCCGAAACAAAGGCTCGCCCGCGCCGGATTGATATCTACCGTCACACACCCCGGGAGTCGACGCACGTGGAAACTGCCAGAGTGAAGTTCATCAAGCTGGCACAGCCTGACGGTGGAGTATGGCCTTCACTGGAGAGTCGCGGCGACTTGTAGTCCAACTACCATCGTCAAGAGTCCCCTCAGCCCGAGAGGGAAAGTGACAGCTAATACCTAGACGGCGGTTGCCGCTTCTGTCATACGCAAGGTATTTGTGGACTTACACTTGTCTTATCCACCTTGAAGGCCTGGTCTGACACTTCAGGTTTGGGGTAGATATGACCGACAACCAATCCTCTTGCACGAACAGGGATTACATGCAACCTGATGACACCCGAGGAGGAAGTACCTGGAAAGCTCTAGTGGTGCTCGTTTCCATAGTCGGGCGCATCAGTGGCGACACCAATTGCGCGTAGACATCCTGCTGTGGGTTGAAATCAACTTCGCGGTTTCACCACGCGTCTCAGCAATCAGACGCCACCCGCGCAAGGCTGACTTCAGCCTGGATGTCTCTATCAACACTCTGACTTCTAGATACGAGTATACCAAAAAGCGATAGGCGGGAAAGCTACATAAGGGAAGGTTTACCTTGCACGACGGCCGACAAGGCCCTATTGTATGACTGGCCCCACAGCCATGATACTTACGCGGGCATTGTTCTTGTTATGGCATTTGGATTCTGATAGACGCTCAAAATATCGCACAAGTTCTCCGAGTAGAAGAGGCATAGAAACGCCTCTACCTACTTCACTGGGTGTGCCAAATATGAATACTACTCATTCTGAGTGCGTGCCGTCCCCCCGGCCGACTCTTCGACTGTGGATTCGATATGGAGGCTGATAGACTAAGTAGAGATCTTGACACAAGTATTAGTTCGTGATTCTTGTAAGTTGACGTTGGCGGTCATCATTGTCAGAGAGGGAGACGATCAGCAGTTGGGGCGGGCCAGGCGTCGTCATCCTCGCCAGTTGTTGATTTTCCCCTCATCTGGCATGTCTTCCGTCCTTCAGCTCTTCGTTCTCTTCAGCTTACGTCCATTAGAGCTAGAGCAACCATGTATCTCGACTTCACCACCAATCTGGGTCTGAGTTCACTCTTGACCACGTTGCTCTCCACAGTTATCCCCAATAAGCAGACTCCCATCGGCTATTATCCAGTAGCTCCTCCATCATACCCTTTAGCTGTTCGAAGCCCATACCTGTCAACATGGATGCCAAGCGATCAAATCCAGAGCCTGCCTTTGGCCGAACCTCAGTTCTGGACAGGTCAGACTCTCACCTGGTCTGTGATGGCCCGTGTAGATGGCCAGGCCTACAGTCTGATGGGCGTCAAGACCCCCGACGAACATATCCGCCCTGCTACTGTTTGCAGTGCTGAATATACCGCCACCCATTCCATCTTCATCCTCACTGCTGGCTCGATGACTTTCACACTAGATTTCTTCTCTCCCATATCACCCTCCAACTACCTTCGACAATCATTACCTTTCAGTAAGCGATGGTGTCTGCACCACGGTGGTGGTGGTGAGTGCTAACTCGCTTCATTTCAGGCTATTTGACCGTCTCAGTCTCCGGAACCTCACCCAACAGGGTTCAGGTATACTCGAGCATCGACGGAAGGTGGACAGGAAAGTCGCAACTAACTACCCAGGATTTCCGTTACGCCAATTCTACCGCTGTCCACTCCCTACAGGTGGAAAATGCTACTGCATACTCCGAGGAGAGTGACATGGCAACCTGGGGCGAAGCAATCCTAGCTTCTCGAGCTACTCCAGGCACAACCCTCTCGTATTCTTCGGGAGAAAATAGCGAGGTGCACTCTCAATTCGCCCAGACTGGAACCTTGGCCAATGCCATCCAGCCGTGGGTGCGTGGTGGCGTGGTGGCCCTCGCTCACGACCTGGGAATCGTCGTGAACACGCAATCTGTAACTTTTGCCGTTGGACACGTGCGTGAAGAGTCTATCAACTATCTGGGAAGGTCATATACGGGATACTACCGGGCTTCGTACCCCAGAACAGACGATGCAGTCTCGTACTTCTTGGACGATTATTTCGATGCTCTCCGGGAGTCTCGCGCTCTCGATTCGGAGATGGCGGAACAGGCGACCGCCGTAGCAGGGCAGAAGTACGCCGACATTGTGACTTTGTCGGCTCGTCAGGCCTACGCGGGAATCGAGATTGTCATCCCTAATGACACTCTGGACGCCACGGATGTATTAGCCTTCATCAAAGAACTGTCCAGCGATGGCAACATTAATACGGTGGATGTCATCATGCCGGCTTTTCCCATCTACTATATCTTGGATCCAGACTATATCCGACTTCTATTGGAACCCATGATGCGGTATCTTGCGGCCGGGCGTTGGCGCAAGCCCTATGTGATTCATGACATGGGCTCGCATTACCCGAATGCTACCGGCCACGACGACCAACAAGCAGAGCCGATGCCAATTGAGGAATGCGGCAACCTGCTGGTTCTCGTGCTCGCCTGCGTCCGTGCCACAGGAGATGCAGCATGGGCGTCTCAGTACACTGCACTTCTGAAGAGCTATGCGGATTACCTTATGAAGCATGGAATTGATATCGCGGAGCAGCTCTCTTCAAACGACGCTGCTGGACCATTAGCCAACGAAACAAATCTTGCCATCAAGGCTGCCGTGGGGATCAAGGCTTTTGGGGAGCTGAGCGGCCTTCCCGAATACTGCCGGATTGGCGATGAAAGAGCCAACCTACTATTCTCCCAGGGATTGGGGTTGGACGCGCATAGGACACATTTTGTGCTGCAGTATCCGGGAAAGCCGACCTCCTGGAAGATTCCATACAACCTCTACCCCGACGTGCTATTGGACCTGGGGACCTTCCCTCAGGCTGCATATGACATGGGATATGCTTTCTTCAGGTCTGTCCGAGCCGAATACGGCGTTCCGTTGGATCATCGACAGGACTGGGCCAAGTCGGACTGGAATATGTGGTTAGCTGGGGCGCTTGATTCCAGCACCCGCGATGAGTTTGTTGACGACCTGTGGCGATATATGACCAACGGCAAGCATCACTGGCCCTTTTCCGACCGTTACATCGCCACATCGGCGGAAGGAGGCAGCCCCGGAATTCCTGTTTTGTGTCGAGCGCGGCCGACAGTTGGAGGACATTTCGCTCTGCTGGCTTTGCAGGGCCCCCGATCTCTGCAGCAGGGCGTGGTGAGGAGACTTGGAGAGCTGGTAAATCATCACGATGATGAGCAAGTACTCTTGGAACACAATCAAGAGCTCTGAGTCAAGGATACGCTAGGCAGCATGTATATAGCGCAGTTTGGTGACCCATCGGTGCTTTTTGGCTGGATCTTGTGTTACAGTGTAGAGAGTGGGCGAATTACTGTCGCCCACCAGCCCAGTAAGTTGTTGACTGGATTGAGTGAGATTTGGGACTGTACCAGTTCCTCTAGTCACTTGGTGTCGATCAAATGAATGACTGTTCTTGTCTTGTAGCTGGCAGTTCAGTTCAGACTGTCCCTTGCGCCCTTCTTGTTGTTGTTATTTTGCCCCTGGAGGTGCTTACCTAATCGGGGATGTCGTTGTGTTGCCAAACCCGCCAAACCAAGCAAACCCAACCAAACCAAACCTCTCTTGTCTGTTCTGTTGCTTCAACACTGCTTGCTGGCTTGCTGTTGCTTTCTCCCTCTCTTTCTCTCTCTCTATTCACTTCCTCCCTCCCACTCCAATCTTCTTCCTCCTTGTGTTCTTCTCCTCCTTTCCCCTCTATCATCTCCTTCTTCTCTTTCTGCCTGTCTTTTACAGCTTCTCCTTGCTTTAGCCACTTCCCCTCCCGACTTCGAATCCTCCATCGCCGTCATTACATTCTCCCCCCATGGCTTCTGTACGTCTCGCCTGATCGCCTCTCCAGCTTGGCTGTTGATGGTCAACGTCATGGCTGCTCCTGCTCTCCCTCCGCTCCACGTGCTTGCGTTCAGCAGCGATTCCCCGAACGCGCTCACTTGATGGATCCTTGTGCAGCTCACTGACTGACCTGCGACCTTGTTTCTAGCCCCGTCCTCCTCATAACTTCGGTCCTCAAGGCTATCCGCTTCCCAACGGTGCTGTCACTTCTGGTCCTGTCCCCGGCGCCACCCCTCTTCTCCCCAACAATGGCCGCGTTTTGCAAAATGGTCCCGTCCGAGTTCTGTGTATTGCCGATGTTCGAGGTATGTGCTCCGGACAGAACCTCCGATGTGCCGGTCGCACCTAGCAAACAAGATCGAGCTGACGTTGGGGACTTCTGTTTTGCTTTTTTCGTGATGTAGGAAACCTCAAGTCTCTGAATGAATTGGCCAGACAGGCCCGTGCGGACCACATCATTCACACTGGTGACTTCGGTTTCTACGATGATACCTCGCTGGAGCGCATTGCCGACAAGTGAGTTCTCTCTGATGCTTCAATGGAGCCACCTCGTTCTGCAGGAGCATTGACCCCGGTGCCTGCGTTCATGTGATCGGACTGGGTCCACTAACCATGATTGGGCTCTCACCTCTAGGACCTTGAAGCACGTGGCTCAATACTCACCTTTGCTACCGGAGAATGTCAAGCGGACGATCGCGCAGACTCCTCCCCAGCAGTCGATCAAGCAACGATTCACCCCCGACCAGCTCCCCCTCTCAGAACTCTCCATGCTGCTTGACAAGCGGCTGACTCTCGATGTCCCCGTGTACACTGTCTGGGGTGCTTGTGAAGATGTTCGGGTGTTGGAGAAGTTCCGCTCAGGGGAGTACAAGGTCAACAACCTTCACATCATCGATGAGGCCAACTCGCGACTGCTAGACATTGGTGGTGTCAAGCTGCGTCTGTTGGGTCTAGGTGGTGCCGTCGTGATGCACAAGCTATTCGACAATGGGGAGGGCAAGACTACGATTGCGGGTGGTCAGGGTACCATGTGGACGACATTGTTACAAATGGGTGAGTTGATCGACACGGCCAACCGGGTCTACGATCCGTCCGAGACCCGCGTCTTCGTCACGCATGCCTCGCCCGCCCGTGAGGGAATGCTGAACCAGCTGTCCGTCACGCTCAAGGCCGATTTCTCCATCTCCGCCGGTCTGCACTTCCGCTATGGTTCATCCTACAATGAGTTCTCCGTGAACCCCTCGTTGGACCACTACCGTGGCAAGCTGGCTGCTTCCAAGGCCTCCTTCAACGACGTGTGGGAGACCGTCCGCGGTGAAGTCGAGACCGCCATCTCGCAGAATGAGGCTCAGAAGACACTCTTGGACAACGCTCTGGAAGTGGTGAACCGGATGCCTACTGTTGCCAACGGCGGCAATCCCTTCGGTGGGCCTGCTGCTCCCGGCAACGCGGCCGGCCAGGTGGATGAGAGTGCGTTCAAGAACATGTGGAACTTCAACTTGGCAGATGCCGCCTTTGGTTTCCTGGTGCTGGAGATTGAGGCTGGCCGCATTGCGACTGAGATGCGCGCGCAGGGTTTCAACTTCGCTCACCGTACCGGAAAGCCCCAGCCTGTGGCCCCCGCCCAACCCGCTCCCGTCCCGGCCGCTGGTCCTCCTGCCGGTGTCGCTTCGCCCCGCATCTCCGGCGCTGCTCCTCAGTTCGGTCAGGTGCAGCCCGTTTCTGGACGTCCTGGCGCCCCTGCCCAGCAACCGCCTCAACCCGCCCAGGCCAAGGGTGCTGCCGCTCCCGTCCGCACCTCTCCGGCTCCCGTGATCCCCAAGCCCGCTACTCCTCAGCCTCCTAGCGCGTCCGCCGGTCAGCCTTCCGTGGCGTCTCCCGAGAGGGCCGCTACTACTGAGGCCAACGGCACCGCTCAGCCCGACAAGCCCTCCGAATCACCCCTGCCTAAGCCTGAGAAGAAGGCGAGCAACGGTCTCTTTGTCTCCAACGTCGATAACGAACAAGCCGTTCGCGATCTCTTCCCCGAGGAAGACCAGGCTAAGATGATACGGGTGGAGAAGTGGGGAAAGTTCAACCACGTCGTAACCTTTGCGACTGTGGAAGAGGCCAAGGCCGCGCTGGACCGCCAGCCCGCCGAACACAAGAAGCCCAGCCCTCCTGGTCAGCCCCGCAAGCCCAACATCAAGTTCTTTGAGGATCGCGGCAGCCACCGTGGCAACGCCGGCACATGGCAAAGCAGCAACCGGGGTGGTGCCAGCTCCTCTCAGCGTGGATACCAGAGCGGTGGTGCGAGCGACAGTGAGACCAACCGAGGCCGTGGATTCGGGGGACGGGGCCGTGGGCGTGGCGATCGAGGCGGTCGCGGCGGCCGTGGTGGTCGTGGTGGCTTCAACAAGGGTGGGCCATCGGAGTCCTCGGCTGGGGATAGCAAGCCCGCCGCCGCAGCTGGGGGGGACGCTTGAGGTGTAATTGTCGTCACATTTATTGATTTCATCTTGCCTCTTTCCTCCGTCCTTCTCATTCTGTGTCGAAAGCTTTTTCCTTTTCTTTCTCTTTTCTTGATCCGTGCTCCTTACCTCACTTCCTACTCTCACATCATGTCTCTTCTAACTCTCGCATCCGTCTCCGCCCAAGACATTCCCCCACCCATGTTCCTACGAATTTTGCACGGTATCCGCTCGATACTTTAATCTTCCTTGTGCGGAATATTTCTTGTCTGCAAAAATGACGTCCTCTTTTCTTCCCTTATCTACCTTTCCACTACTCGTTTTTTTAACTACCTCTTCAGCGAGATGCGTTTGAATCTTCATCGATTTTTTTCTCTCTCTCGTTCTTCCTTCTTTTTCCATGTAGACATCATTCACCGTGCAACGATGGTAAGATTGCTCCATTGATAGATCAGTTTGTCCGGCCTCACGACGGAGATCAGGACCCATCGGGAGCTCAGGAGTTATGTTATTCGTTGGCACAGAAGCCACCGTGGACGGTCGGGTGTTGAACTTGGGGTGGAAATGAAACCAGCACCGGTGGTATGAGAAGGGGAATTATGAGCACGGAATGTCAAGATATGGATGGAACCTTGGTGTTGTGGTGATTGATGGATGTGTGTGTGCGGAGGGCATACTGCAGGCGAGAACAGGCAAGAGTAGGGAAGGCAGTAACGGAAAGTGCAGAAGAGAAAAAAGGGAGGACAAGGAACAAGGCAAGCGGACAGAGCGGTGTTGTGGTCTTTTCTTTTTTTTTTTCCCTTTTTTATTCTTTTTGTACTCTTAAATTTCTGTTGTGTTGTCTCTTCCTTTTCTCCATCTGGAGACGGCTACCCCAATATCGATACCCTTGTAACTTCCATTTTGGGTCTTGGATTTCGTTACTAGTAGAGTTAAAGTAGACGAAGTACTGGCAGCGGCAGTGGGTGTCATGATGCTATATAGGTAAGGCCTTGTCTATTTAGTACTGTCTCTTTCGAGGGAACGATTTCGGCACTGGCAGGTATTACTTATATATTTCTTCTTCTCCCCGAGGCGGGGTGGGTCTCCTATCAATCAGTTCATCCATCGACCACGAACTGTACAGTGAATTTTGAGTTGAGATCATGTGCGAAAGTCTCTCTTCATCTACGATGGGCAACGATTTGATCGGTTGCCCGTATGATAAGAAGCCTCCCACCCGATTGAAACATATTCGGGACTGAACGCGACGAAGATCGTGTAGTTCTCATCGATTTTGACTCTCACTGAAGGACTGGCAGATGCTGAAAAGCACACTCCCCACCTGAATCACGTTCTGTGGCGGTCAATATACCCAAGCAATTCTACGATGCTATTGTCATGTTCCATGCTGGCCGGTTGCTTGAGGTCAGACACACACACACACACTGTAGGAGAACAGGCTGCATCCGATGGTCGACGAAGCCCGGATGCAGGTACTGTACACTGTTCATCACCGGGAGTTGCAGATTCCGGATTTACGCAGGGACGAATGAGCCCGACTGAATGAGAGTAAGGATACTGTATTTCGTATGTTTCGTATTTCTTAAGTAAAAAGCAAGATTAACGAACTGCTCGTAAAGTGAGTATCCCAGGCAAGAAATGCCCCCACCATTTATTAACGCAGAACGCAGATGCGCCGCAGGTCCCCATATTCCATTCCTCCTGATAACGAACAGAATTGGAAAGCTAATGAAGGAGTGCAGAATTCGGATCTGTGATCTGTGTAATCTGTGCAAGCAAACAGACGAGGCGTACTTTCGTTCCAGGAAAGCGAGCATTCGAGCACAAAACTAAAAGCCAGACACCCCAAGTTCATACTCCTAAGCGATGGTGTGGTACAGACTCTTCTCAGATTCCAAGATATGATGTTATCCAGGTTTCAAGCACACCTCCCAATAAAGTTCAATGTGCAAGCGAGATAATAAGAAAGACAGAATACAGAAAGAGAATGTAGGCAATGAGCGTAGATGATAAAAATATGTAATATGTGTATACATAGATAGTTGTAGGGGAAGCAAAACGCGTATATGGGCGAAAGATTATGCCAAATGGCAGCTGGTTTTCCGTCCGATTTTGTGTGCTCTTGGGTAAACAAAAATCTTCCGTTATCCAAAAATTTCCCCCTGGGTCATAACGACATCAATAGCGGTAGTGTGATTGCATTGTAGGTAGTGGGTATCTGAAACGCAGTAATAGTGTCGGAAGCGGTAGCGACGGCGATAGTTGAGCTTGTCAATGAGCGAGAGCGTCATGTGTTGTGGGCTATTTGGCGCGTCCCATGATGTCTTCGACGTCCTGCTGGTTAACGACCACGCCGCCCTCGGAACACCGAGCCTTCATGCGGAGCTCGGAACAGAGATTGTCGACATCGAGTTCGCCGTTGCGGAACCTCTCCATAGATTGCAGGCGATCCCTGATCTGGGTTAGTAACCTTTGGCTGATACCAGGCGAGGAGAGAACATACCAGATCTTAGTGCAACTCATCATCTGGGTTTGGTCTTCCCCAGGCACCACCTCATCCTCATCCAGCTTGCTGTCAATCTCTGCAATCAAGTTCTTCTTTGGCTGCTGCTGTTGACTGGTCACCTCACTAAAGTTGTGCGAGGGACTGCCGAGATCTGGCAACGGGAATGCATCATCGAAGAAAGTACCGAAATCTTGAGACAAAATCGCATCTTGAGGTTCGCGCCAATCTCCGAACAGCACCGGATCAAATTGTCCTCCATTCTGCTGGGCGAGAACGTCGAGAGCAGGCTCGGGTGCAGGAGTTTCTGTGGAGCCCTGATTCGGCTGACTGGGCGTGTTCGTGGCACTGACACTGCTGTGTCTGACAGCTGGAATCGGGTTCTTGATATTGCCACATGCCATACCGAGTTGTGCGCAGAAAGACTCCTCTCCGTTGATTCCGGAGTAGGTGCAATTACTGTGGTCAAGGTAGTGCTTGGCTGCGGGGGAGTTAACCGACGGCTCGGGTGAGGTGCCGCTGGAAGAGAGGAACTGGCTTTGGTGAGAATCAGACGAGGAAGACGGCGAGTCAGAGGTCGAAGTGTCCTGCACAGAGGGAGCGTGCTGAGAGTTGTGGGTCATTTGGAGCTTGGGCGTGGCACTCTTGGAAGGAAGGCGTCCACCGTTCGACTGTGACATGGGACTGGGCGTGTTTGTGGCGGATCCATTGGCCTTGACACCATTCAACGTGTCTCGGCTCAAAACGCCAGGGACCTGCGATTCGTTCCGGGAGGTGGTATCGTTCTTGAGCTTGTTCTGTTGGTTCTTGCCCCATTGACCGTTGTTGAAGATGTGTGCACCCGGAAGGTCTCCAAATTTGGGAAAGTCGAACATGAAATCATTGTTTTGAAGGCCGCTGTAAACGCCTTTGGAATAGGCTCCAGGGATAGCGTTCATAGCCGAGAGACCATTCCCACTAGTAACCCAGGACAGGCGCTTCCGGTACTCCTTGAGCTCCACCTGTAGACGCTCAATCTGGGCGCGAAGCAGTCCATTCTCCTGATTAGCATCATCCGAAACCTTCTGCAATTCATCCACCTTTGTCTCCAGATCCTTCAGATGTTTCTCCTTGCGCTCACGGAATGCCCGCTGTGCTGCGCGGTTTTGCGCTTTGCGCTTCTAAGGGAGAATTAGCACCATGAGGGAACGGTAGCTTGATCAATGCGCAGATATACATACCGAAGTGGGTTCGGAGGTCAATGGCTTTCTTCCCGGTTTCTTGGCTGTCTTGTCATCACTTTCCCTTCGTTTCTTGCCGGAGCCTTCATTCTCCTCGGTCGGGCCGTCCATGTCCTTTCTTTTCTCGCCTGGCTCATGTTCGTCCGGCAGAGAAAGTCCATCGGGCAAGTCACCGATCAGATTCTCTGTACCCTGAAAGTCAAAGTCAAGCTCCGGGTTGAAGTCGAGAAAAGGGCTTTCATCATCTCCATATCCAAGAGTGCCGGAGTTGGGTTGAGTGAGGTCGAAGCTAGGCGATACATTGTAGCTGCTCGACGATGCGTTGCCGGGGGTGGAATCTGGCTCGGAGGTTGATCTCTTGATCTGGTTATTGGGTTGCTGTTTGGACGGAGGGTTGTTGGAAGAAAGCGCAGCTAGAAGGAGGTCTTGCTGATCCGGGGAAAGATACAGGCTGTGCTGATAGAGGGAATTGTAGTCGGCCATTGTGAAGGATGGGGGGGATGTTTTAGGGGGACGTGGATTCGAAACAAAAATGAAATTAAGCAAGCTGCTGGAGCGAGACGGTGACAGATATGCTATCACGGTGTATGAAACTGATAGGATCAAGGGTCTCGTCAGGAATTAATTCGACTGTTCGTTGAGCTATCAGGCCGGGCTTCCCGCCCGTTCGTTGTATCGATGTGAACCTCCAGAGGTTGCAGGGTGGTCGAGTGGCTCCTGGATGATAGCACCCGGCAGAGGAGCAATGGTGGACTCGTGGATGGCAGAGAATACTAGTCACTGAAACTGCACTCTGCAAAATATCCTTCAAGACACCACGAACGATCAGGAATATCGAGAGGACGCGGGAGAGTATTGTTCCAGCAGGACAGCTTCGTTGGTATGCAGAGAGGTAAGAGAAGATCAGGGACGTTCTTCTCGACGAGCCGTATGGAAGCGACTAGTAAGCGAGTGCACAAGCCGCAACGGAGCTGACGAATGAGGGTACCACCGGGATTAGGATAGGTCAGGCAAGGAGAAGAGGGGCCCGGAAGAATCTTGGAATGAGGAGAAAGGATAATGATGCAAGCCAGTGGACTGACAGTGATAGTGACTTAAAGGATGGGAAAGAGAAGAAGAGCGAAGAGGGGAGAGGTGGAGGGGGG